CACAGTATTCTCCGTCCTCTTGGCTTAAGAGGCGTGCGTGCTCCGTGCGTTTGTACGGCACGTCCAGGTACATGTGCCGGGTACCATGCATCAGCCAACCGGGGAACGTAAAAATGGAGTGTGTTTGATATCACCATACCATCCTTTTGAACTTGAACTGGATTCCACGCCTGTAGAGATTGCATTTGGCGTCAAGGCTGTCGGAGTGCTCCCCCCCCTCCCCCAAACACGTGGACAACATCCTGCGCCCGTTGGTAGATAGTTCGCCCCAGTTTTCGTTCGCTTCATCCATCCCAAGTCCTACAAAAAATTGCCCTACACAGTAGCAAGGCAGCCACAGCAAACTTTGATTAGTGACTATTCTGGGGCACGTGCCCAGACAGGCGTTTGAGTTCTCAAACATCTCCATGTCCAATTCGTCCCCAGGAAAAATTGGAAAATACGGCCAGTGATAGACTCCCTCTCCCTTTAAAACCAACAGGAGAAAATACAACATGGTCTTCAGCAAATGGAAGTAACGACAGCAACAAGTTCCGTTTGCCAAGGCCTTGGAAGATCGTTCCACATGGGCATGGAATCCTCAAGGAGCCGAAGGGCCAGTTCTACCAAGGCGGTGGTGAAACGGGGGCGGGGCTTTCCGCATTTGGCCGCTTGGTTTGGTGGCTTCTGGGCTCCCAGTTTGGGCTCTTTGGCTTTTGGCTTTTTTGCTTGGGCACCTTGCTTGTAATCACGCACGCTCTTCATTCGTGTCCCTATTTGTTTTCTATTGGGGCGGGCTGCCCCCCTTCTTTATGTGAGGTTTGGCTGTTGTATTCCTTTCCTCACTTGCCCAAAGCGAATCGACCTTTTGACCTTTTGGTGTTCCAACTTTGGTCCAGTTTTAGTAAAGGTCCCAAAAGGTGACCACCTTTTACTTCCTGGGTCCTTTGGGCAAAGCTTCTGGTCCCCAAGTTGAATAGCCTTTCGCGGCCATGGGCTTAGCGGCATTGGCCCAATAGCCCTTTCACCTTTAAGCCCCGACTGGACAAGTCCATATGGCTTCGTTTCATCCCCGCAAAGTGGAAAACCAGCAACAGGACAGCGGAATTAGCGATTCCCTCCGCCTTGAAATGTGGAATCAGCGACTCACATATTCCCTTTGAGATGTTGAAATGGGGAAAGAACTGAAAGGAAATGGGGATGGGGATTGAAAGGACCACACGCTTATTGCACGCTGCAGATGCCGGAAACCCTGTAAGGCACGGTGGGCGGGGATTTGGTTCCCCTGTAGGGAACCTGCTCCACTTGGGAACGTGCAAGTGCTTTCTGAAAGCTAGGTATGTCAGAAACCATGTTGTTTCCCACTTTCAGTGAACATGACCCGATGAAAGAAGCAGCAGACGCATCAAACTGGACTCAAGTTTCCCCTGTGACGGGCAACTTGCTGTTGGCGACCAACAGCTTGGGAGATTGCCACAATCAACACGCCCACGGCACGCAAGACCTAGAGGATTCCACCAATGAACAACCGGAAATACCCATCACCCACAGGGTTGCAAAATCGTGGAGAAGGTCAACATACATTATTGCCCCTACAGCAAAATCCTCATTTCCTGTTGAACTTGAACGCCCAAGAGCCACCGTCTCGCCAGAGGGCTTTTACCCAGTCTCAGACGCCCAGTGGTGCCTTTGTTCCCCTTGATTTCCCTGCATTTGGGCTGTGCGAGTTTTGAGGGTGCCTTTTCTAGGTTGGATTTATGGTAAATTGTTGGACACCGCCAGGAAAGCACATCATTTTGCGGGGGCTCTCTGTGTTGTGGTGGACACACTGCACCCATTTTCATGTTGGTGGGTTTCGGAGTTGGTCTTGTCGCATACTGTCAGGCCACTTCGCGCTTGGAGAACGGCCAGAGTCTGGGCAGGGGGCCGCAGAAGGTTTTGCGCAGCCTTGGAGCACTCCCTGAGTTCCGTTTTGGACTGTATTTTTGTGCTTGGACAATTTTGGTGGTAAACCGCTCAGGAAGTGAGGCAGTGAGAGCATTTTGTTTAGGTACTTGTGTTCTTTTTACTTCTGAGTTGGTGTGTTTGGTTGGTTTAAAAAGGACGCCAGGAGGAAAACCGTCATTTGCTGGGTTTTTGGGTGCCCCTATTTGGACAGATACCCTTTTGGCATCCGCAAAGACTCCGACGCGCAAGGTTTCAGAATGCGGAGCCGCAGCCGGCTCAGTGCTGGCATCGGGTTCGGAGGTGTTGTGGGTACACGAATGCCACCAGTCATCGGTAAATGTTGATCCCATATTAAGCAATCCCAGTGTATTAATATGGGGGCTGGGGGCCCCTCCAAGAGTGGTCTGATTCCCCACAACCCACCCCCCTGTTAATAAACAGGGGTTGATTAATATGGGGTCAACATCATGCACAGAACAACGCTGACCTTTTTCCCTGGATCTCCAGGCCCATCCCTCGTATTATCAATCCTACCCTCCCGTCCAATATGAGACCCACCGAGGCTCCCTTTAAGCAGAAACTGGTCCTCCAGGACCCAGACCGCTTCCATCTTGGATGGGGAGGGTGCTTCATTCCCAAAACTTGTGACTCCCTTCTGGGAGCCAACAAGTCTTAGGAGCTGCCGGAGTGCGAAAGGTGCTAAGGCCAATGTACCGTGGTATGTCAGCACCTGTAAATGCTGTATATGACGGGTGGTTCCCATCCGGTTCCGTAGCTTTTTGGCTTGTTAGTGATTAGTGGTTGGACTTCCATTAAACCCACTAAAAGGTGAAAACGGACAACCCAGTTAACTTTTCCCTCAAGGTTGTTTTTTTGTTTTTCCCCTCCTTCATGCGCCACTTGCACCATGTCAAGACACCGTAAAGTGAAACACTTCTAACATGGGACACTCCTGTGCATCAAGCAGTTGATTCATCCTGAATCAACATCACTTGGTGCGCTTGGTAGGGCCGGTCCCTTTTGTTTGGGTCCCTCTTTGGGCGGGTTCTTGGCAACGTGAGGCAGCCACACACGGAGGCAGGGGCGATGGCTTTTGACTCATCGTGTCGCTTCTGAGGCATTTGGATTGGGCTTGGCTTAAGGAACCACGAGGGATGCGACACACGCCATGTTTTTTTACGGACCCCATGGCCGCTTGAGGGTTTTGAGTGGTCCCTTGGCTTTGTTCGGCCCCTTTGCTGGTTGGCCTGGATTGAGTTGTAGCTCATGGTTCATGAGCCCAGGAAGCAGGGCATTGCATCTCATACCAGAAACTGATATATGAGTTTTCATGCATGCATTGTACTCATGAAAAGCGGCTCGCCAATCGGGAGTCAACTGAGCTCATCAAGATCTGGCCCAGTGAGGAAGTACTTTACTCAAAAAGAAGCAAAAACGAACGAACAAACAAACAAACAAACAAACAAACAAACAAACACGCCAAACTACAGCACGTCCAAGGATTTTCTCAATTCAGGCGAGTGAATTTCAGCGATCAGTGCCGAAGCTTGGATCAGAAAGGCAACCTCAGAAACTCCCTCCCCCAAAATGTGTCCTCTAAGTACGCCCATGTGGCTTTGCACATGGAAAGGAGTGGGGAAAGGGAGGGGGGAAAGGGATCATAGTCGGACTCCCAGAGAAAGGTGGAACATGTTGGACCTGTGCGGGATCTGCCGCAGGATCCTGAATGATCTTAGGACTGTTTGCCGCACTGAAGTTGCTACTACTTGCTGGGTCGCTTGCCGTGGTTAGGTTCCCAGATCCAATTAAGTGACACCCTGTCGTTTAGTCGTTTGCTCGCCCTTTCACATACCACCAACCGGGAAAAAATCCAGATTGCTCTCCACTGGACATACCCTTCCATTGGTTAAGACTATTTGTTCTTTTCCACTGTTGGTTTTAAAGGGAATCTATCCCTGCAGGATGTTGTTTAGTTTTCAGGGGACTTAAATGGAGGTACCGGGTTTCCCGGCGGTCCAGGAAATGTTCTCCCGGAAAGCCAGTTCCTCTCCTTCCGATTCCTGTTGGCTAGTTTAGTAGGTGGTTCTACTCCCTGGTTAAATAGGGATTGCAGTAGTCCCTATATAAGCCTTACCAACCTTCTTAGAACAACCTAACGTTCTAAAGTAAACAGGCTTTGGGCGCTGCTCATTTGGCTGCTTTTTATGGCTTGACCTTAAGCCAGGATTTGTGTGGGACTTGCCAGAACCTCGCTGTTTTGATTAAAACAAGCCCAAAGACGCAGGGGACAACGAGCGCGCCCATGAGCCAAAAGCGGGTCCCTAGCTTCCCAAACTGGGAATTGCGGCAGTTCTAGGTACATTAAATCGCCCTCCCTTAGGCTGACATCTAGTGTTTGGCTGCTGCGAACCAGCAAGACAAGCCTTTTTATGCAGGGAAGTTGGTATTGCCGCATCTTGCAGAAACTTGGTTGGGTTCTTTTGGGAAACCACCCCTTAACGCCACCAAACCACCAATCCAAACCACCAATTGGCGGGAAATCGCCCATGAAGGGGTTAATAAGGGACAATCCTTTGGGGGGTTAAGGGAAAAGCCCTTCCCTGATAAACCCCTTGCCTTAAGCCACAGGCTGGGGTCACCCATCCAAAGTCGCGCTCAGAGCCACGACCTCTTTAGGCGCAGGGCTTCCGGGATCCTACGCAAGGCCGGGCAGCGGGTCTTATGGGAATTTCTACCCCCGAGCTGATTGGCTTCCTTGTGGCTGTTTTTTTCTCCATATGCCTTACTCTCTGAGTTGGACATGAGTCATTTTTTGGGTTTGGATCGAATTTTGGTAAACAAACAGTTTCAGGATCTTGTTTTGGCCAACTTAGGAAGTGCGTTACGCATCGCCTCCAAAAGACGTACCCAGGTTCTCTCGCATCGTCCCGCCTGTAGTGGACTTTGTCTACGACTTCACTTCGGCTCTGTGCCTTACGGTGCCTTGCGGTGTCGTACAGGCAAAGGAGGAAGGCTTTTGCCTTTGGGGGGTTTCCCCGCTTCAGTTGGTGAGCCTGTTCGGATTCACCCTAGCAGGGTACTCAGCAGATACTCACAAGAATAGACATGACCAGTGGCCGCCTTGAACCTCAGGTGCCACGTTTCGCCCAGAAGGAATCGTGAGAGGATCCTCAAAATAGGTTCACAATTGAAAGGTAAAGAGTCGAACATTGCGGATTTATGCCTAGGTAAAGAGAGATGCCTGGGTAAAGAGTAAATTTCCTGGGCAAAAATATGCGTAGAGTATAAAGGTAAAGGCAATTGCCTTGGTAAAGAGTCCCCATTTGAAAGTCATACGCGGATCGATACATTTGTCCCCTACCTGCAATTGCCCACAAGGCCCAAAACGCGCACACGGCCAGGAACTGCCAACCAGGGCTACGCGCATGTCGAAAGCGACAAAACAAACTTGCGGCGCGGCGCGTGTCTGATGCATTCCAAATCTGTGTTCAGTGTTTTGTTCTTCTCGGTATGCTTGTGTTTTTTTGTTTAGGTTTGTTAGTGTTTGCCCTTGGGTGCTCATGTCCCAACCAAACAAATAGATACTGTGGGAACTTGGTGACCGATTTCAGGGATTCCCTAGCGTCCCAAAACGTCCCTTAGCATTTGTTGGCTCTGAGAATGTCGCAGGGTGATTGAACCCCCATGTCCAAGCAATGCATAGTGACGCGGGGGGGGGGGGGTCGACATCCATCAACGGTTCCTTTGATACATGCCCTACGGTTTCACAGGGATGCGCCTCAGTTGTCGCTTGTCTTGATTTCTTCTCCGTGCGGCCCATGATTGCGCAGATCGCAAGTTCGTCAATCCAGGGGAAAAACGAGCCTGGTCCCTTCTGCTCCTGTTTTCTGGTCATTATCTCAGTTGTTCAAGGCGAAACGACTTTTTGACCTTTTGGTTTTCCCCTGTTGGGTTCCCATTTTTTGTAAAAAAAACAAAAACACGAGGTGATCGCCTTTTATTTCCAGTTCCTTTGGGCGACTGAGTTATGAAATTTGCTCAGATCTTGAGTTGCTGAGGGAAACTGCATGGTGCTGAGCATCTCTAGCTGGTAAGGGAGCTTTTTTTGTTTTGTCTAGGTCATTTGGGCAAGTGAGATCAGGAAACCCTTGGTTGGTAGTTGGGAGTGGTGGTTTGGGGATTTGAGCCCTTGCTTTTGTACAGGGTAAATTTTGATCGCCCGTTGATTTTGAACACTCAGTTTCATCGATGTTCACAGTTGCACATCCTAATCTCGCCGTCGTGGGAAACCACTTAAACGATACGACAAACTATGATCCCCATTTCCCTTTATGGGCAAGACTAGATCAATGGAATTGGGGACCCACCCCTCATCTTCCATTTGGTTAAGAATATTTCTTATTTTCCCCTGTTGGTTTTAAAGGGAATCTATCACTACTGGAAATATATATTTTCCCAGAAGACTTAAGCAAATGGAGGTCATGGTAAGGGTGATGCTCTTCCGCTGGGCCGCTGGTGGCAACTATTCTCCGTCGCACTGCTTGTGCCTGGCTTGCAGAATTCAGCTTGCGCTGGCAGCTTCTGCTGCGATTGAGTCATGCTCTTACAGTCGCCCCGCAACGGGCAAAACGACCTTGCAAGGTCCCCATGAAGTTGTCGGTTTCCTCAGAGGCCCGTCTCGCATGTCAAGGATTGATTGTTGTGATTCGCAAAGAGAAAAATGTTGTAGCCTCAGCGTGCGGATTTTAGGCGTGCAGTTCCCCAGTCCAACATTGCCACGGCCAACAAGGGACGCCCCCTTGCAACGCCTCTCCAAGCCCAAGCCGGCTGCGACGACGGCTCGGCACTGCGCCGCAGCCTGCAGCATGAAGGTCAGCGACTCAATATTTGTCCTGGACAACTTGCCAGAAAAACACCATCAATTGGTTGTTACGTTGTGGCTTTAAACACATCAGGCTTTCCAAGCCCCACCATGCACAAGGACTCAAAACCCGATGAATCGCCCACGGGTTTGGACAAAGATCGGCCACTTGCCGCTTGGCTTTCTGCATGAAGCTGATAACTTGCACATAATGAGAGCCCAAGACGAAGCGCCCCCTTCATGTTGACTGGAGAGAGTCCTGCTGTGGATGGACGAAGTCCTGCGCCACCTAAGAAACCCTGGAATGATTTGATTCCTGCGTAAACCGCAACAAACATTGGCTTCAACCACGGTTCAGCGGTGCGACATGGATTTCGCGACCATCCCTTTTGCAGGACCCCCGCCCCCCAAAGGGAGCCGCTTCAGGTGGATGAAACATCACCCTAGAAACCAGAACCTTACCTCTTAAAACACAACTTTTCAACTTTTTGGGGGGTAACATGGGCTATATGTCTGTAAAAGGTTAACTTCCCCAATCCTTGGAGTTTTAAGGGGTAAGGAACCCGGCGGGAAGTTGCGTGCAAGGTGCGCTTCTCAGCATGGCGGCTCTTGGTGCCGCTCTATTTGTTGCTCTTCCTTTTGGCCGAGGCCTCAGCAGACCGCCGGGGTTTTGGTTGCGGCGCTTTGGTGGTTTGGTTTTTTTTGGGAGGAGGGGCTCCCTTTAAAACCAAGTGCCAGAGAAACTGGTGGGCGCCCTTTAAAACCAACTAATTTCCAGAAACAAACGGTGGGTTCCCTTTAACACCAACTAATTGCCAGAGAAAGAAAAAACAGCGGTGGGCTATTTTTAAAAGCAACTACCAAAAATTGGTGGTTGTGATGCCAACGGGATTACTTTGAAGTATTAAAGTAGCCATGGGAATTTGCCACTTTTGTTCCCCGTTTTTTTCTTCTTCTTTTTTCGCTAAGATTTAGTACCAACTCACTGGTGGCTGAGATTTCCAAAACTTGTGTATTCTGGGGCAAGGCTAAGCATAGAACAAACTCCGGAAGCTTCTTCGCTTACAACCATCGTTGCAACTAAAGTTGGAAACTATTGTCTTATAACTTATAACCATGGCTAGAACCTAATAATGTCAACTTCAGGGGTGGTTCTGTTTCTAGTGCAGACATGACCTTTTTTAGGGATTCCTCTAGTAGGGTCGTCCGGATGAATCCGCAGTCAACATTGCAACTGGGATCCCACCCGCTTAAAAATGACATTGGGGGACGGGGTATGACCCCTGCAGATCTCCATTGATGGTTGATTTGTTCCTTTATGGGCTAGGTCCCCAGTCGGGCCCTTTTACCCTTTTTTGGGGGAGGGTTCCCCTACTAAAATAGACTACAGAAAAAAGAAATCGGGTACCAACTTCTTCTAACCTCAAACTTCTGGAGGACCTAGTGGGGAATACTAGATGGATCGCATTGGGGGGATTCCCCCCCCCACCTTCCCCCCTTCCCCAGAATTAGCTCCCCCTTTTGGCTTTTTTCCCGAAAGCATGGCGAAGGGTTCTTCCGCTGGGTTCACTTGAGTTGTTCTCATGAGAGTCATTACAAGGTGTCATTGCAAGGAATCATCATCATGAAAGTCAGCAAGGAGTCATTGCAAGGAGTCATTGCAAGGAGTCATTGCAAGGAGTCATTGCAAGGAGTCATTGCAAGGAGTCATTGCAAGGAGTCATTGCAAGGAGTCATTGCAAGGAGTCATTGCAAGGAGTCATTGCAAGGAGTCATTGCAAGGAGTCATTGCAAAGGAGTCATTGCAAGGAGTCATTGCAAGGAGTCATTGCAAGGAGTCATGGCAAGGATTGCAACTTGCACTTGACTCCTTGCAATTGCAACTTGCACTTGACTCCTTGCACTTGCAACTTGCACTTGACTCCATGCACTTGCAACTTGCACTTGACTCCATGCACTTGGCTCCTTGCACTTGGCTCCTTGCACTTGGCCCCTTGCACTTGCAACTTGCACTTAACTCCGTGCACTTGCGACTTGCACTTGACTCCATGCACTTGGCTCCTTGCAACTTGCAATGGCTCTCATGACTCCTTGCAATGACTCCTTGCAATGACTCCTTGCAATGACTCCTTGCAATGACTCCTTGCAATGACTCCTTGCAATGACTCCTTGCAATGACTCCTTGCAATGACTCCTTGCAATGACTCCTTGCAATGACTCCTTGCAATGACTCCTTGAAACAAGCAAGGAGTCAAGTGCAAGTTGCAAGTGCAAGGAGTCAAGTGCAATTGACTAGCGAGGAGTTAAAATCTCTTCTTAGGGCGGCGGGGTAGTGCCGACGACACTACACGAAAATCGACCCTCTGCGGGGATCGGCGTGGTCGAGGTGCAAAACCCATGGTTTTTTGCGATTTCTAAAGTGCTCGCGCGACCCTCTGCGGGGATCGGCGTGGTCGAGGTGCAAAAACCCATGGTTTTTTGCGATTTCTAACCTGCTCGCGCGACCCTCTGCGGGGATCGGCGTGGTCGAGGTGCAAAAACCCATGGTTTTTTGCGATTTCTAAATGCTCGCGCGACCCTCTGCGGGGATCGGCGTGGTCGAGGTGCAAAAACCCATGGTTTTTTGCGATTTCTATGCTCGCGCGACCCTCTGCGGGGATCGGCGTGGTCGAGGTGCAAAAACCCATGGTTTTTTTTGCGATTTCTGCGGTGCTCGCGCAACCCTCTGCGGGAATCGGCGTGGTCGAGGTGCAAAAACTCGAGGTTTTTTGCGACTTTTGTTGTTCGAACTGGTCCTCGGGAGTTGTCTCGTGGTTCGCGCCTGCTCCCGGAACCGGCGGGTCGCGGGTTCGATTCCTCCCTGGTCCGCGGGCGGGCGTCGCAAGATGCAACTTGCATTTTAAAGCAACTTGCGCAGAGCAACTTGCGCAGAGCAAGTTGCACAGAGCAACTTGCGCAGACCAACTTGCACCGACCAGTTTGCGCAGAGCGCCTTGCCTAGAGCAACTTGCGCAGAGCAACTTACGCAGAGCAACTTGCACAGAGCAACTTGCACAGAGCAGCTTGCACAGAGCAACTTGCAGGGAGCGCAATTTGCACAGAGCAACTTGCAGGGAGCCACTTGCAGGGACCAACTTGCCGGAGCAACTTGCGCGGAGCAACTTGCGCAGAGCAACTTGCACAGTGCAACTTGCGTAGAGCAACTTGCGCAGACCAACTTGCACCGACCAGTTTGCGCAGAGCACCTTGCCTGGTGCTGTCTCGCGCTTGCTTCACAAATGCTTCGTGTAGGGAAAAAGAACGCATCCTGCAGCGTTGGGCCGACCTCGCTTGCGATGTTCTGCTTTCGGGCCAACCGTGGTCTAGTTTTTTTTTCTTTTTTGGGGTCCCCTTTGTTTTCCACTAATTCCAGGCAAAAAGGAGATGATCTGATTGCTGTGGTCCGATTTTTCCAGCCTTCCCCCTTGTGAGGTGGGAGGGGTCAACCGGGCCGAAGGCTTAGCCTATCCAAGGCTGGGCTCCCTTTCCCAGCTGCCGCCTTCCTCGCCGCCCGGGCCCCGAGGGGGCCCCAAGTTCCTTCTGGCTGTGGCACTCAAAATTAAACGATCGGAGGGGCCAACCGCAGGTTTTGGCACCCATGTCTCCACTTACCAGGCGAACCCAGTTTGGAATTCCGGCTTTTTGAGCCACAGCCATATCAAAGCATGGTTGGGAAACATGTCTTCGGCGCATGTTGCCCAGTTTATATATATATATATATATATATATATGTATATATATATATATCAAGGGATGTGTTTCTGGAACCACTTCGTAACACGGGTGACGTTTTATCAAGAAGAAAGATACGTTGTTACATTTTGCCCAGGGATATTAGGACTTTAACTCGCTTTTTGCCAACTAATAGGCTTTCCGTATTAAACCGCTAAAAGTTAAAAATTTGGCAGGGGAGCAGAAAGCAACCGAGATTTGGCAGTTTTGCTTGTTGTGGTTTAGTGGTTGAAATCCCCACTGAACTGCTAGAATTTAAATGGTTGCTTCCCTTTTGCGGTTTAGTGGTTGAAATCCCCACTGAACTGCTAGAATTTAAAGGCTTGCTTCCCTTCCAACGTCAACCAATAAGAAAGGAGCTGGGGCCCGAGTTTACTGTACGAACTCCATGCGGAAGTGTTCGGAGATGGGTACCCTCCCACCCTTTTCACATGGAACCTGACGTTCGGGGGGGTCCTCGAAGACCATTTTCGTTTTCAAGGAACCGGGTCCCGAACGTCAGGTTCCATATTAATTGGTGGGAGAGTATCACTTGTCGAATCCACCTGAAATGACAACTCTTGTGTAGCCGCCTGGGTTGAGTCCACCTGCATTTTCAGGCACAATTGGGGCAAGTGAGTATAAGCCCACTGGAATCTCAGTACTGGGTGAAAGTAGATGGCAAGATTATTTCATTTGGGTTTATTCATGTCCTGTGTGTTTGCACTGGCTGCGGCTGTGGCTTTTGAACATCACCTCCCAAGTCAATGTTTACTCAGTCAATGACATTTTGGTTTCCCTTTCGGTCCCTTTTTGGTAGAGAACCCAAGAGGTGATCGCCTTTTATTTCCATGCCCGAAGACGGCAATGCGGCAAGGTGCAAAGACGTGCTTCCATTCCGCACCCCGCATTCTTGCATGTGATCTTGAAGCGTCGTTTCCTGTGAAGCATCGCCACCTGCCTGGTTGGCTGGACACAGGCACCTTCTTTTCGTTTGAGCGGCCCGCTGAGAAACTCCGGGCCCTTGGGCACTCTTGGGCGCTCCCGAAGGGCGCAGCGTTCGGGAGTTGCAACAGCTCGAGCATGCCACCGCACTCTATAGTTACCCGGCCCTCGTTTGAAATGAAGTGGGTCCAGCTTCCTACCTTTCAGCTGCTCATGGCTTACCCGCTTCGAAGGCAGCCAGGCCGCTTCCAAGGCCGTCGGCCTCCTGCTTGGAAATGTGCCCGGCGCCGTTGCGTGCTTGGCCCGCACCTCCGTCCTCCCGTGCCAGCGCAGGTCTGCGTGCAAGTTGCGACTTTTCTTCAGCCAGGCCCGAAAACTACCCGAATGCCTTGACTCGTGCCATCGCCGAGTGCCTTGTTGCACGCACGCTGCAGTTGCATCGCCCCCTGCCTCAGCCTCCCGAGTGCGCAGATGACTTTGCTCGCGTTCGTGCGCTGCTGCGCAAGCGGTCCCTGCGGAGGTCTTAGGCTGCTCTTTTGCGTGAGAGGAAGGAAGGGGGCCAGAAGAAAAACAGCCGCAGATTCAAGTTGTAGCCATGACCTTTGCGCCTGAGACCTCATTCCACCTCACTTGTTCTTGCTAATGTCAGCTTTTCGGACCCGAAAAGTGGACTTGTTGATTCGTTTGTGTTTGTGTGTATTGAGAGTTTACTTGTGTTTGTTGGTTTCAAGAACACCCCGTGTTTTTTTGTGAAGGGGGGGGGGGTCGGGGGGGGGGTTCCCTAAAAAGAGACGCCCATGGCAGGTCAACCCTACCATCAACTTATCGATGCCTGGCCTGTGAGGTGAGGCTCTAGTGATCGGATCAGCTGAAAACAGACCAAGCTAGCTAAAGAGGGAACAGCTCTCAATCAAATCAGCTCGGGGTTGATTAATCTTGGGTCAATATGACCTCTTCACCCTCAACAGGTCAATGCGAAGTTGGTTCCCTTTTTCTAGCTTTCAGGTCGCAGGTTGCAGGGGGCTTGTTTCTTTTCTTGGGTAGAGCAAGTAAGAAACAGAAGAACATGTTTTTGGTGTACCTCTGTACCTCTGGGTGATCTGGGTGTACCTAGGCCCTAAGGTCTTGAGGTAAGGCTTGTGCAAGGTGCTGCTTCCCTGCGTGGTGCTGGAGCTGACGCTTAACTGGAAGACCGCGTTGGCAGTGGGCTTGGCAGCGGTTTGCAGCCAGAAGGCGTGGGAGCGTTAGATGCCGGCTACTTCCACTCTGGATTCAGAGCCATCCCTAATTACAAGCCACCAAGCTGCAATGACTTTGAATCAATAATTTGATTTTCGGATGAATAACCCCCTTTTAGAGGGGATTCAGACCGCCTTTGGAGGGACCAGGACGTTTCTTTCCTTCCGGGGTCGCATTACTGCCAGGTTCCTTGCACAGCCCAAACCCCCTCCCCACAAATCCCCCCTTTCCCTGCCCAAGGCCCTAGTAAGGCCATAAGCTTCATGGGAATCTTGGATCCCTTGACCCGTGTGTCGTGAAAATCCAACTTGTAACGCCACAGAAATTCAAAGAGAATCGACCTGAAATGACATTTTCCCCATTTTGGGTTCCCATTTTCCGAGGCTCCAAAAGGGGGTCCCCTTTGGGCCTTTGGGGGCTGAGAGAATCTCTAGGGAGCTGAAATTGCCGATTTTTCCTTCTCAACCTGCTGAAATCAAGAATACTCCTTCAACATAGATGTCCTGGTTGACCTCAGATGGGTTCAAGCGTCCTGAAACTCTAGTTCTGATCATTGACAAGTGCCATCCATTCAAGTCCAAAGCGACACCCAGGGTGTGGCTTCCTCTTTCTGTAGTTGTCGTTTGCATCGTTTTTGGGTCAAATTTGGGGAGGAGGGTACAGCGATGCCTTGCAGACCCCTCTGGCTCACCAGAACCCGACTCCGGCAGGTGGCCAATTCACCGCCCTTGGCTCAGTGAATTTTGATCGGGAACCCTTTGCACGTCGTTTAGTCCTATTTGTTGGGGATTCCTCTCCACTTCCATTTGCTTGTATATGTTATTTGCCCCAGTTGGTTTTAAAGGGAATCTGACATGATTGGACTTTGTGCCCTTTGACCTTTTTTGGGGGAGGGCTCCCCTACTAAACTACAGAAAAAGGGTGCCCTTATTCTAACCTCTCTACTGGAGGACCTAGTTGTTGTTTTTCTAGGGGGCGAAAAAGCAAATGGAGCTCCACCAGCCAGTTTTGGGCTGGACCTCCGGGACGCGATTCCCTGTTCAAGTTCATAGCAGGATTCCTCCTGTGGCCCTGCAATTGACGAACTTTCTTTGGGGAGGGGGGGGGGGGGGTTGGGTTGATTTTTTTCCTCGGGCTTCCCTTTTCAGAGCAGGAGGAGTCGTAACAATGACAGATACTGTGGAACAACGACCAGACAACATATAAACACTGACAATTTTTAATTGTCCATCCCGACAGCACGTCTTTTCAGGTTTTCCATTAGATCTGTCTATTCAGGTTTTTCTCAGCGCCCAAATCGCGTTTTCCTAGTCAAACGGCCGTTTGACTCAAAATCCATAGAAACGCGCTTTCCTAGTAAAACCGCCGTTTGACTCAAAATCCATAGATCCAGCGCCCAAGTTGAGATCCAGCACCCAAATCGCGCTTTCCTCGTCAAACAGTCGTTTGACACAAAATCTAAGATCCAGCGCACAAATCGCGCTTTCCCAGTCAAACGGTCGTTTGACTCAAAATCCACAGATCCTTTTCCTAGTCAAACGGTCGTTTGACTCAAAATCCACAGATCCTTTTCCTAGTCAAACGGTCGTTTGATTCAAAATCCACAGATCCAGCGCGTTTTTCTAGTCAAACGGCCGCTTGACTCAAAATCCGCAGATCCAGCGCCCAAATCGCTGATTAGTACCGAGACGGTCGTTTCCTAGTCAAGAAGGCCGTCTAACTCAGAATGTGCAGATCCAATGCGATTGGGCCAAAAACGTACTTTGTCGAGCTTGTTTTTTTTTTTGGTCGGGGTTGTGCTAAAGTTTTGGCGCGGTTTTAGATTTCATTGCCAGTCGTGGTTACACCCCCTCCTTCAGAGTCACGCATTTTTGAAACTCCCTGGAATCTGGGACACCATTGAGCCTGTGAATGCTCATCCCGAAAGAAATGGTGGGGGTGTAGCCAATGACCCCTGGAAATTTCTTCATGGAAGGCCCCATTGCGCCCTTGTGGCTGACAAGCTAAGGAATTGGGAGAGCCCACCCCACCCCCGTTTTTTCCCGCGCGAAGTCTATTGATTTGTGGGCATGGGAAGCCCTCGAGGTACCGCGAAGAGAGAGCTCACTCATTTCCCATGCCATGGATGATAAACATGCCGTGTGTGTTGAGAGTGGCTTACGTGCTTGCCCTTGAATCTTGTCGAGCGTGGAACTTGTTGCAACCAGAAACTGCTGCTCACTGGCCCGTATAAAGGGAAGGCAAGAAGAGCTTGTGAAAAGCAATGGAGGTCTACACGTGGGTCTGTCTTGTTTTGGAAATCCTCCCAAATTGCGGTTTTCCTTTGGTGTCTCTTTAAAACAACCAGAGCAGGGGTACCCTCACAACTACCCTCAACAGAAAGACACGCCCGCATGTTGCACCAGGGCTTGGCCCAAAATGGACCAATCACCTCCAGCCGGCCCCCGAAACCAGCGCCCGCCGCTCCGCTCCACATCGATCCCAAGGATCGCCCCGCTGGCCGGCAAGTTCTTTCGTGATATGGCGCGGTCGAGGCGCCGGAGCCCTTTCAAGCAGTGGCAGTTTTTTCTTTTTTTCTTTCGGAGTTGCCGAGCCTGCAAACTCGAGGGGTGTTGCTTTTTGGTCTTGTTGGGGGGGGGACCTTTTGGTTTCTCTTTAGCCACCGACAAAAAGTGGTCCCCTCAAAAGAAGGACAGACCCACAGGTACCCAGCTGAGTCGCACCCTTATTTCTATTTTTTTTTGGGGTGGATGGTCTTCTTGGGAACTGCACCACCACAACGAGGATGCGTTTTCTTCCCCACAGCCACTGGATTTCCGAGACGAAGATGTCCGCCCCTGTAAAAGTTCAGGTTTGGTGGAGCAAGGCACATCGCCCGCTTGCGAAGCTCAAGATGACACAGCTGGCAATTGGGCGTCCAGTTAAGTGTCTCTTTTCCCAGGCCAACTTTCTTGTGAAGCAACCCGGACGGCACCCCTGAACGCGCAAATCGGAAGAGCATGGGGTGTGGGCCGGATCGACTTGCGGCTTTTGCCCCACTGTTCACACTATTCAGAAGGAAGTCGGGCATCCCTCGCCAGCCTTCACTTCACTGCTCTCGGCATGTTTTTTAGTTATTTAGTTTTTTTGGTTCTGTTCATTTTTACTGGGTGTCTGCAAAAAACAAAGTTTTTTGCTACCATACCAAGAGTAGAGATGTTCATTTTAAGGAGCACCATCTTGCCCTCGCTTCCGAGCTCTCGCTGCATCGATGGCCGCAGGTTGGGCACGCTGGCCTACCGTTCGCCGCCGCGGCCCGGGATCTGCGTTTTTTTTTAGCTGCTAGGTCCAGTCGTCTTTTTGGCTGGGAGGGGTCCCCTACTAAAATGGGCTACAGAAAAAAACATCGGGTACCAAGTTATTCTAACAGGGCTCCCTAAAAGATCTCCATTTTGCAACCATTTGAAACATGTTGCTTTTCCCGCCCAAATAAAGGGACGCCACCATGTACAAGGCAATGTTCAGGTGTATAATGTAAGGATCCCTGTCTAACCTCGCATATCTGGAGGACCTAGGTTGGGTCAAGGCAGTTTCCGCTGGAGCCTTTGACGAAGGATGGAAGCTTACCTCACTTCCTGAGTTCCGGAACTCGGACTTTAGTCTCTTTTTGGGCTTGGACCTTTGGAGGACCTTTTTTGGTGGTAAATGAGAAGTTGGGACTTTTTTGTTGGGCCATCCACTTGGGAAGTGAGTCCCTGAAAGTTGCTCTTGTTTGAAGGATTACTAGGTCTATTTGGCTGGTGCAGGCAACATTCAGGGTACTCAACTGCTTTGGCTGCTATTTGACGCTGCCCTGACACTCTGGGCTGTGCTTTGGCTGCCGAATCCAACTGTGCACCTGTGTATTGGGCATGTTGTCCATGGCAAAGTTGATGCTTCGCCGCTTCCGCAGCGTTCTTGGTTTTGTTTTGACATGTCCTTTCAATGGGCCACATGCGCTGGCACAAGGTCTTTCAACCATGCCAGAAGTTTCGATCTGAGGATCAGAACCGGTCTCAGAAGGTTCGAGTTGTTATTTGCTGCTTTTTGGGGCCTTTGGTTTCCTTCCTCATGCTGTTTTGAGGCCGGTTGGCACTGGAGTATTGCAGTTGCAGATAGAAGAAACAGCCATGAAACCGCCATCAAGCCACACATAAGCCGTGCGTGCGTGCAAATCACATAAAACACTTCCTCAACCATACCACCAACTCACCGCTCCAAGCAAGCAAGGAAGCCTTGCCACCTGTCCGTGTTTCTTAAGACAGGGAACCTCCTTTGGTTGGCGGCATGTTCCTGGGTTTCCCTTTTGACCCAAGCTTCGGACAGGAGCAAACTGGGGGTGTCTTTTTGTAGCGGACCCCCCAAAATCTTTTGGTGTTCCTGTAAACCACCAGAAAGTGGAACCCTCAAAGAAAGGACAGACCCGCATGTACCCAGCCCAGTCCCACCCTTCTTTCCCTTTTTTTTGGGGGGGACGGTTTCCCGTTGAACTGCATCAAAACCAGGGTGCTCTTTCTCCCCATAGCCACCGGACTTCCGACCTTTTAAAAGTTCAGATTTGGTGAGCAAGGCACATTCCGTAGCCTGCTGAGTATAGCCGATTTGAGAACCTGAAGATGACAGGGCAATTGGGCGTCCACTTAAGTCTTCCTCAGACCCACCTGAAATGTTTTTTTAGAGACCCCGGTGGTTCTCAACTGTGGTTTCCCTTTGAACCGCCAGAAAGTGGTACCCTCAAAACGAGAGACGGACCCCCCTGGTGGAATCCCCGGAGCCTCATCGCGTGAGTGCCATGACGACTCCGCTGGCCTCCGGGGTGGGGACGCCATTGACGTGGCTGTGCACTCAGGCACAACAACGGCCTCCCGTCCATTGGAGGTTTGGGGGTGGTTCGTTGAAGGGATTCCCTTTTGGTGTAGGTTTCAAAGGGGGACCAGAAGGAACGCCGCCATATTGTTTTTTTTTTTTTTTTTTTTGGGGGGGTCGGGGTGGGGGGGGGGGTTGGGGTGGGGGGGGGGTTGCCCGAAAAAAAACGACGTTCATTCGACGTTTGAAGGAGATGTCCTCATCCATCCGCCTGGTTCACTCATTTGGGGCGATGGGGTTGCTGGATCCGCTGAGTCTTTTTGGTGGAGTCAAGCGATGAGACTTCAGGATCTTGCGCTTGGACAGGGTGAGCTCCAAATATTTCCCCCTGCTGCTTTTCCCTGGAAAACATCACATCACCCATGTCCTGGGGTCTAAAGTTGGCTTTTTCCTCATGGGGCGATGTTCATGGCTGGAAGTGTTTCGTGTTTGTTTTTCCCAGGTGCAACCAGTGGGGTGCTTCCCTTTTTCAACTTTCTTTTGGGAAGGGTTCCCTTTAAACTCAACCAACCAAAAAAAGGATGCCGTTTTTTTTTCCTTGGAAATCCACTGGGCATCTGAGTTTTTTCCGAGGAATCAAGGGGAACCCTCTTGGATGGCTTTCCCTGCGCTGCTTTCCGGCTGAAACAGTCGACGTCGCATGACGCGTAGGTGGAGTCGCTGCAGCGGCTGGTGGTTGGGCCGAGCTCTCAGTGCCCGTCGACTCGGTGTAGGAAGACCAGCATTTTCACACGGAAGCTGACGAATTGAGGGGAATCGGGCCTGGTTTGGACCATGTTCCCTTTCGAAGGGACTATTTCCCGAACGTTGAACGGTCCATGCGAATTTTGGTGGGGGAGTGATCCTAGGACTTTCCACTGCAAGACTTAGCTCACCTGTTTGACGGTTTTCCCTTTTTGGTTTTTCTGCCGTGTTTCCTTTCGGCCAGCAAACAGGTACTGTTTGCGCTTGGGTCCGTCAGGCCCAGTTTCAACCGAAATCAAGGGGGACCGCTGAAGTGGGAAGAACATCTGCCGTCCAAATCACAGCTTGTCACAAGGGGAGTCTCCTGAGCTTCTCGGAGTTCGGCGATTTCCGCTTTCGGCTGTGGACACTTTCCAGGCTGTCATAGTTGTTCAGTGGCACCCTTTGAGGCTTGACAGTCCCGTTTCTCCAGTAGAACCCAGAAAATGTGGGACTGGTTTGCCACACGCTGTCGCTACACATTGCCGGATCGCGTTGTTTAGACTTGCTGTGTCGAGGTTTCTTGCTGGTGATCAGTGGGGAATGTGGGAATGACCCCTACTTGGGTTCATTCCCGCATTCCCTACTGAACACCAGCAAGGTTTGGGCTGGACTTGTTTACCACCTGCCGTTACATCTTGCCGCATTCTTTTCCGTCAGCTTCGGCTTGGATGGCCACTGAGTGTGGGGGGGAGATATCTGGGAAGGGGACACTGCCAGTCCTTCTCTCAAGTTTCGCAGGTTCAACCTACCAAAGCATTACCGCCTTTTTTATAAGGGGGCGTCTCTGGATTGCTCCAAGTGGGCACCTAATGGTCTAAGAGTGGCACCTATTTATTTCCCTGCTCCACAATGGACATCCTTTTTTCCCCCACCACTTTTTTTTGCCTTTGTTCTCTCTTCATGAGCAATTTCTCTTGTGCTTGTGCCACTTGGTTGTTCGGCTTCCTTCTAGTTGGTGAGTTGGTTTAGTTTCCCCTGGTGTCTTCTTGGCTTCTTTCCCCTCAAAGCTGCTCGGACTGTTCGATTTCGCAGGCTCTTGACCCGAGTGGCCGATCTGGAGCGCGAAGTGACGCCCTTGAAGAACCACCTGGTGGGTGGAGGCGCGAGCGCCGAAATCCGCTGCCGATTTGGTCCATTCGCCGGGAATAACTTTTGTGTTTGCGGTACCCCTTTTAGCTTGGCTTAGAGGGAACTTAGGAGGAAACCACAATTTTGGGTGCTCCCTTTGCGAACGGATTTGGTCCCAGTCGTTTGCCAATCTGCAGCAGTCGGATCGAAAATCATTCCTTTTTGCACAGGTGAGTTCGAGTTTGCACAGGTGAGTTCGAGGGAAGGCCCTGAGCCGCTGAGCCAATTGAGTCGCTCAGATTCACCCTTTCTGGATTTGGGAGGCTTTCTTGTTGAGAACCACACGCTGTTTACCATCAGGATCTAAATACGGGTCCCTTCAAAATCAAGTACCGACAAAACGATGCCCCCGTGGGTCCCATAGCCACGGGATATTTGGGGTGCCCAACATGGAAGTGCACAGAGCCCTGTGGAAAGACTACTTACCTCTTGGGCAGGGGCCGAAAGTGCACTTCCATGTTCGTGGCGAGGGTAACGTGAGCCACAATCAAAACCTGGGTATAGATGAAGGTTAGTCAGGGAAGTCCCAGTCGGAAATAGTTGCGGCCGCCTTCTTATTTTTGTTCATTGGTTCTGGGTCGACCATTTTAGTACCGGGTTTTGATTGTGAGTCACATGTGAGGGCAAGATGCAAAGCTCTTTGGCAGGATGTGTGCGTCCAGAATGGAGGGCCTCCAAGGACGAAGAGGCTTGGTTTGCATTTGTTTGAGGAGGCGGGGACCTTGTTTTTGCCAACCCCAAACTTGGGGGGAGGGGGAACCTTGTTTTTCCCAACCCCAAACTTGCTTTCTGACCTCCGGCCATGTTTTGCCTTTTGGTTGTTGTGCCCAAGAGGAGATCGCTTGACAGTAACAACCCTCAATCTTGAGGGCGGGGGGGAACTTGCTTTTTGTGCAACCCTAAACTTGCTTTCTGACCGGGCCAGCCATTCTTTGCCTTTCGGTCCATGCGCCCCCACCTTTGGGCGCGTGCCGATTTTTTTGCAGCCAGAATGAGCACGCAATAAAATCGAGCTAGGGCAAGTAGTTTGCAGTGCGTTTCTTCTGACACTGAAGCAAGCCGTAGATTGTGCTTGTTGAGGGAAAGCACGAAGCGCATAGCCTACGAACATACAAATAGATGTTATATACAATATAAAATAGTATATATAACCATGTATACATGCACATAGTATGCCCACGAGACTATGTATGTTTTTGCGTGTTACGTCTTTATTATTTGTCAGTTCTATCGAATCCAGCCTAACCCAGTCTACACTAGTGTACCCTAGTTGTCCGTTTATCCAGTTCTTCATCCATCCATCCCGTTATTAATACGTCCATCTCTCCATTTGCCTAGCTATCTAGATGCCCACCCATTGATATACCTATAGTGTATCACGAATCTCTTCTATTGTATGGATCGATCGATCTTTTTGGCAGCTAGCTTTCTAGCCATGGCAATAGCTATGCATTGCCCAGTCCACTTACATGTCAGTGTCCATGGACAGACATAGATGCATGCATTTGTGGTTGCATGTGCCTATCGAAACACAGACGCAGGCAATTGCATATACGGGCACCTATGCCCGTAACACATGCTTGTTCAATATCAGGGTGAAGGGCCTAGCCTAGCTTAAGCTAAGAGTGGTCCAATCAGCCCAACACAAGAGGGCCACCGGGTTACAATTGGTGGCGAGCCACAAAGCAGCCCTGAAAGTTGCAATCATGGCGGCGACGTTCTTTTTGGCATATGGCATGGCCTGGGCATTGTGAGCCGAGGATGTCTAATTGCCCAGTGGGTTTCTTCCTTTTTACATTTTTTTTGGAGGAGTTCCCCTTCACAGTCAACCGACCAACAAAGGATGCACTTTTTCCCCCATGGCCACTGGGCATCTGAGGATGTGGACGGGCTCAAAGACAAAGTCGACAAGCTGCTGACAGTTGTGCAGAGGCCACAAGCCTTCCAAACATTGGACGAAATGGGCTCCAGCTACAAGCATGGCATGTTCAGCAGCGTGTTCAGTCCCGAAGAGAAAAGGTCCACCTTGAACTCCTCGAAGACCCCCACCCCTCGTATCCTGACCCCAGGGTTGTTGCAATTTCACTGGGGCAACCCAGTGAAATTGCAAGCTTTGCAGCTGAGTACTGTATGCAAGGGCTGTCTAATAAAGAGCCCGTCCACATACATATCCCCTTATGTGTGCAAGGGAAATGTGATCACCTTTTTCCAGCCCTTTGCTTGCCAGTGAGCGTTACGTGCGCCGCTGCTCTCCGCTGGCTTTTTCTCCCAGACCCGGGGATCTTCAGGCTGGAGGCGCGGGTGCCTCCGCCTTTGGTCGAGCAGAAGCGGACGGAGCCTGAGGAACCCGGCATCTTCCCCAGCGAGGACTGCGCCGGTGAGTTGATTTAAACCAACCGCGTGAGTTGGATTGTCAGCTTGGTGTTCGCTTCGTGGTTCCCAGCCATCCGGTCCCTTATATAGGTGTTTAGATTGTTTAGGGTTTAGTGGTAGTTTCCACCAAACCAGTTTCCACCAAACTACTAAAATTAAACTATTAACAGGGGATCTGGGAACAGCCCAGTGTTTCAGATTGCTTCGACTTGGATTTGGATTTGATCCCCTGGTTCTACTGGGATACATTGGCAACCACCGGGAACAACTTCAAAACCACCAATCCTAACCTTTGCTTCTGGGGGGAAGCTGATTGTAGTCAGAGGGGCCACAAGTGGATGGTTTGCTACTTGTTTTTTCATTTCTAGCAGTTCTCTCTTGACCACCCGCTGGGCTAGTTGGCCATGAGTTCCACGCGGTCGCTTTTTGAACACCATAACGTGAAAAAACAAAAACTCTTGGGGGCACCCTTGTTCTTCCCCAGAATTAGCTCCCCCTTTTGATGGTTAGTTTTTTGTGGGTCCCGCTTGTTTTTCACTAACAAGGCAACACATATATACTTGGCGCTTCCAGCCATCCCCTTAGCTTTGTAGGCTTTCAGTGTTTAGTGGGGGTTCCATTTAACCCACTAAAAGTTGAACTTTCAGCAGGAATCTGAAGGCAGCCCTATGGCTGTGGGTCAACACCAATAGTACCATTTTGGGGTAGGTGCACCACCCACTTTAGTCTATTTTAGTGGGGATGGGATGTTCACTGGGGGTACGGGCTTTTGACCCATGGCCATATATATATATATATATATATTTGGTACCCCCCCCCCCCCCCAATGGTCATGGGTCAGACAAGTCCCCCCCCCCGTGGTTGTGGTCCTGTGGTTGGGTTGTGGTGGTTTAGGGTTGGTTTAGAATTGGTTTTGGGTATATTTAGAGTGTATTTAGGGTTAGTTTAGGGTTGGTTTAGGGTTGGTTTAGGTTTAGAGGTGTACGGTTTAGGGGTTGGTTTAGGGTTTGGTTTAGGGTGTATTTAGGGTTGGTTTAGGGTTAGTTTAGGGTTAGTTTAGGGTTGGTTTAGGTTTAGGGTTCATTGTTTAGGGATTGGTTTAGGGTGTATTTGGGGTTAGTTTAGGGTTGGTTTATGTTGATTTAGGGTTGGTTTAGGTTTAGAGGTCTACGGTTTACGTTTTGGTTTAGGGTGTATTTAGGGTTGGTTTAGGGTTAGTTTGACTTGTCCTGGGGGTGGGGGTGCCGGGGTGTCGGGGTGCGAGTTCAGGGGGTCGGGGTGGGGGTGGGACCGTAGGTGCCAGGATCCGGGGGCTCGGGGTCTCGGGCCGGGGTCCTGGGGGACCCATACCATTTGAGGGGGGGGGGGGGAGGCGAGGGACATCTACGACGAGGGCGAGGAGCGGTTCCTGAAGGTTGCCCCGGCGGCGAACCCACTGGCGCCTGGGCCAAACAAAAGGCCGCCGGTTTCTTGACTGCTATTGGGCAACGGATCTTTAGTCTTGAACTTTTGTGTTGAAATCAGGTTGGGGTTTCCCTGCTAAACCCCGCAAAGTTAAACTTTTTGCAGGTGGGTCAACAGCAATCAAGCCTTCAGAAGGAATCTAGAAGTCCCTGAGTTCCATTTTTAACTGTTGATACTTTTGTGGGGACCCGGACCGTCAAAGTTGGCTTAAGAGTTGGTTATTGCTCAGAATTTGCCGAATTTAGTGGGACAACCTGAAGTTCCAGGACAATCGTTGGATCCACCCGATCGGTGAGGAGTTGATTCCACTTGCCAGGTGCAGTTCCCAACAACATCTCCTTGGGTGTTGTACGTCCTTTGGACCAAGTAAAAGTATGAGTCTCCTTTTGGTGGGGGGTGAGGTTTCGCTGAGGAAGAATAGACAGAGGATCCCTTTGTTCAGTGGCCATGTGAATCTGTTTTCCGTGACTTCATGAAGAATGGAGCCCAAAAGGTTCACCGGGGCAACTGGGCGAACTTCTGTCCTTGACTCGTCGAAACCTTCAACCTTCACCTTCGGGGGAGGTGCCATGCTGGCGAGAGGTCGGGTATTTTGACTTAAAAACCACATGGTGCCGTTCCCAGTGAACTCCCACCTGTTCAGGGCAACTCTTCACGTGAGTCACAATCAAAGCCCGGGTAGATGAAGGTTAGTAAGGGACGATCTCAACCATAAATAGCTGCGGATATCCGCCTTCTTAATTCTTAAACCATGGTTCTGGGTCAACCATTGTTGCACCGGGTTTTGATTATCACCCACGTCCTGTTTTGTTTGGGTTACTGGGTGCAACTGAGAAATGTCATAGACATGCGAATCGATCCCACTTTGGTAAGCCATGGTTTATGTCTGTGGTTGCTTTTGAGGGTGCCCTTTGCGGGTTGCACCGTGTTTGTTTTTGTTTTGGGGGGGATCCCCTAGTTTCACACATACCTATGTAGAGAAACGTCGGCATTTGGTCCCAGAGTGAGGAAGCTTGGCTTCAATTGTTTGGCCAGACTGTCCAGTGTTATTAAATTAGGATTGGGCCGCTGGTTGCTTCACAGAAAGGCTCCACGTTTTACAGGCAACCTTTGTTTTTTTGGGGCACCTCCCCCTAGCGTACCAGGTGTATGGAATCCTTGAAGGGGGGTCCAAGGGGGGTGTCCTCACAAACCCTCAAAAGCCCTAAGCAACCCCAGACAACCCCAGACGGCTCTCAGGTTACCCCCCCGGCCTTGCACCCACCCCGCTGAGGGATTCTCATCGCAGGCTGATCCATTTGGGGTTCAACGTTTGACTCAGTTGTTCAAAGCGAATCGACCGGATCTGACCTTTTGGTTTTCCAATGTTGGTCCATATCTAGTCATGGCCCCAAAAGGTGACCACCTTTTAGTTCCAGGTCCCATAGGGGCAACTGAGTTGAGGAACTGCATGGCTTGCTGTACACGGTGGCCTTCGGCGATGAGACGGACGCAGCTCGGCGGGAGGTGGGAGCTGCACTTGGGATGAGTTGTTCACCTATCCCCAGCGCATCTTGTGCTAGGCACCCTAAACCTCCATCTTGGGGGTCGCCCCAGCGACTGGCTTCCGTTTGCTTAAGAGATAGCTGTTTTCCCTTGTTGGTGTGAAAGGCAAAGGACCACTGCTGGACATATGCGGTTTTGTTGCCGGGGGGCTCAGCCAAGTTCAGCCACCCATTTGGTGGTTTGGGCTGGTGGCTGGATTTGCGGTTGACGCCTAGCTCACTTAAACAAAAAACACAAAAACACACCATGTTGAAAAAAAAAAAAAAAACGGGGACCGCACCTCACGTCGGAAAACCACCGATTCGGCAAACCAAACGGGTGGTGTTTTTGTTTGGGTTCGATCTCAGGCCCTGATGCTCATCAGCGACGGGGGGGCCAAGGCTCGCCATGGCACGAGATCTCGCGCTCGAGCCCGCGCCCTCCCTGCGACAATCGGGGCGCTTCAGGCAAAGGGCCAGCGTTTTTAAACCTAAGACACCGGCAAAAAGGGGGAGATTCCGCGCTTTTGGGTGGGCGCTTGTCCCAGTTCCTGTGGGAAATTCCACGCGATGGGATTCTAGGAAGAAATCAGCATGGTTCCAGCTGATTGGGCAAGAAACCCTTGTAAAACGAGTGGGTTTTTGGAAGCATGCGTTCAAGAAGCCTGAAACTACATACCATACGTTGTACAGAGCAAAGTGGTTTGACCATATGAGTTGACAAATGAAGCCATTGTGATTGATTTGCAGCTGTTTACAGCTCCAGTGAAACGGGAGACTCCGCCCCCCTTTCTTGGAGAGTGACCATGCAGTAGACGGAGTTTGAGCGGTTGGCATCAGCGGCTGGAATTGTTTGGGAGTTGCTAGCTGGCCCAATTTCCTGACACTGCCTGGTTCAGATACATGTTCAGGCATGGGTTCTGAAGCTGTGGAGGTCACTTACGCGTAATTGGGTGGCTTAAAACACCCCCCCATACCTCAAAGCCCATAGATTAATGCCCTTGATCACACGTCTAACGCAGATGGATGCTTTGACCTTTCAAGCGTTTCATGCTTATTTGCGCGGGCCCATGTCAGTTGTTGACCTGTCATGCTTGTTTGCGCGGGCCCATGTCAGTTTTGACCTTTCATGTTTATTTGCCCCATGTCAATTTTCGACCTTTCATGTTTTTGCGCGGGCCCATGTCAGTTTTTGCCCTTTCATGATGATTTGAGCGGGCCGGTGTCAGTTTTTGACCTTTCATGTTTATTTGCGCGGGCCGGTGTCAGTTTTGGGCAGGTGTTGAAGTTTCTGGGGGATATCAAGGTCAAACACTGAAGTCCTTGCCATTCAACCTACCACTTTGGAGGACGTTAGCTTCTAGGGAGCGAAGGCAGCTTCAACACGAAGGAACGCCCTTGAGCAGACCCGGGCGTTGCCGGATCACGGCCGGCGACTCGCTTCGTTTGACTCTGTGAAGCGAAACAGCAAGTAGGAGTGGTTCAACATTTCGCCTGCCTTGCCTTTTTGGATCCCTTAACCCCTGAAAATACACCGTCGTCTTGGGAGAACCCAGAATGCGATTTTCGCAAATGGGCCCCGATCCCAGGGGACTGATTTCCAGGCGCAGCTGGAGGCCCGCGACATGCACGGCCGCTCTGCCCTGCACTGCGCAGCTTCCCGGGGCTCCGTGGCCATCGCGAAGATGCTGCTGGAGACTGGGGGCTGGAGGGATGTCCAGCCCCCAAACCACCGCTACACCCCATGCACAGAGGAATAGTGCCCATAAAGCCCATAAAATCTAGTTGTTGCCGATTTGGGTGGCTTCCGTTGTTTGGCGTTTCCTTGGGGGTGTCAGATTGTCGTCTACATCGAGGCGGCAAGAGCAGCGTGTTCAGCCTTGGAAAGGAAGAAGCTACAGGGGGTCCTCCCCACTGCTCGCTGTGAAGGTAGGCTTTTGGGAGTTAAATTGAAGGGACACCAAACGGACACACACAAGTTGAAGGTTTCTCCCTCGAGACAGACCCAAAGTAAGCCACGCGTCCGGACCAAGATTGTTGTGTTGTTCAGAATTGGCCAGGTTTGGAATTGACCGCGCACTCCCAGTTTGCTCCCACACTGCCGGCTGAGTGCCTGCTGTCAGCTCTGTGCCGTTAAGCATCAAAAGCCAAGTGCGCGAAGCTTGTTGCACCGATTTCCCGGTTCTCTTGTTGTTTTCCAGCCTGTTTGTTTGGGTTTCATGCACACCGCATGCAGTTCTAAGTTCTAACCAGCAACAAAGCTGAATAGTTCCAGCCCCTGGGATGAGTGCCACTACCCTCCCTCCCAAAACCTCCACCCCCACACTACCCCTCCGCGACAGAGAAAACAGTCTGGGTAGAACCTGGGTCCGACGCCAACTCAAATTAACATGGGAGCTAACCAGAAAAGTGCACCCAAAAGGCCCAAAAGGGGTTTCCTCTACAAAGGTAGATTCTGAAGTTCGATGTTAAGTTCTAGCAGAGCTCGGCCTTTGTGCCGGTTTCTTCCATTGCCACCGCAATTTCCTTTGTTTCTGTTTGGTTTCACGGGATTGACCTCCCTCACCCGGCTGCTCCGCCGATTTCGGATCGAGTCTTTGGTCTCTAAAAACGGCCTAATGTGTCCAGACAAATCCGGTAAGCCCCATGCAGTTTCAGCGCGTAGATGCCCTGCACCAGCCGCAGACTTTGCTACATGACTACTTGCAGAATCATGGGGCAAAGCAAGCAATGGCAAGCGCCAGGACCACTCCAACTTCGTTCACTACATCAACAGCGCCGATAAATATCTCAGGACCGTTGCCCGGCTTTCATTGGTGGGAATTGAGGTGAGGTCTTTGGGGAAGCAACAGCCCACATTTTGCACGCGAGGTTGATCTATCCAGGGTGGATGTTATATCAATAATACCAACTAGAGCGGACCTTGAAAAAAACTTGTCTAAAGCATGTGTATAGTTCTGGCGTGGAGTCGTGAGTTGCACATGCACTCCTCCTGACAAGCATGGAGATGCCGTTTAGCTCCTTTCAGAAGACTGTTTCTCTTTCGGACAGACCTGTGCAAGAACCCTGTCCGCGGGAGGGCACACAACAGGAAGGTGTTGTTCCTGGACAGCTCTCGCTGCGGAAACTTTAACAGCACTTATGAAAGCTTGACTTCGGCGTAGCTGCGTGGAGGGCTGCTTGCAAAAGTACCCCAGAGTACCTGGTCGGCCAAGGCGGAGCAAGTCTCGCCCTCTCAACTTTCAGCCGCTTTGGTTTCAGTTCATCAGCAGTAGCCAGCTGGCAGCTCATGACTAGCGACTTACCGCATAACGTCAAAGGGTGGACTGCTGGCAGAGAAACTGCTTTGTTTTGTCAAGATCTTTCTCAAATCCGGGACCGCATCCAGGGTGGTTTGCTTCTGTTTCCCTGCTGAATCATCCTGAAAGGGCAGGGCCATTGTGTTTGATGGTTTCAATTGATTTTCAACTTCAGAAACAGAGATACTTTCCTTAAACCACCCTCTTGTCGGGTGACCCTTATGATATTGGTAAGCAAATGCGCGTTTTTGTTTTTTTTTTCTCCTTTTTTTCCGCGAGCACCCGTTCCATTTGGTCCGCCATTTTGAGGCACCAAACTTCTCTCAAGCGCGCGCCAAGGCTTTGCACATGGCGGCACGGGCAGGGCACGCAGATGTGTGTGAGCTGCTTCTGCAACACCGCATCTCGGCAACGCCTTGCTCAATCAGCTTAGACCTGTGGCTGCTTGCCTTTTTTAATCTGGGTGTGGCTCGTTTGTGTGAACAACTGCAGCCATAGGGCTCCGATTTTGACACCTACCCCTGAATAGCAACCTGAGGAAGCCGCCGTTGCTTTGACCGCTTTTTCCCTTCCCATGGCCACTGGAAGTCCTTGGGGCCTCTGGAGAAAGGGGCAGGGGCTGGGGATGGAAAGTTTTTGTTGGAAGAGGGGATGCCTTACCAGAGGAAGGAATTTCGACTCGCCCCCGATTGAAAAAACAGCCGGAACTCGGGCTTGAGTCACTTTTTGGGGTTGGACCATTTTAGTCGTAAATAGAACTAAGTCCCCCAGTAGTGCCCTTTTTAACCCCTTTTTTGGGGGAGGGTTCCCCTAATAGACTACAGTGAAAATTGGGTACCCTTATTCTGACCTCCCTACTGGAGGACCTAGTGAAAGTCCCAGGACTTCTGAGTGGCCAATCCACGAGTGGGACCTGAGGTCCCTGAAGTCTTCAGTGAGTGGGAGTAGGGAACGACCTCCATGAACGAAACTACGCTGTTTGACAGAGCCACCGTTCGACAATTTCAAGCAAGAGAGCGGCACTTCAACACCACGCCCTTCATAGTATTCAGCGCAAGCATGATTGAGACAGGAGTGTGGCTTCTTTGCAGCGCTTGGGTCCAGCGTCCTGTGTCAACTGAACCCTACCTTCCGGTACCCCTTAATTCGTGGCTTGGATTGATGGCTTGGGGATTTGGAGTTGAACCGCTGGTTCTGAAGTGGGCGAATGGCAAATCACCCAACCAGACCTCCAAGTCACCGGGCTCCGGCGAACCACATCGGACAGACGCTGATACCTTGGAAGTAGCGAAACCTTTGGGAAGGCGGATCTGAAGGGGTGTACCCCGGCGATGTGTAAATGTCACCCGCCAAAACGCCTCAAGTCGCCATATTATAACGTTGGCCGGCCAGGCAGCCTTTGGGCAGGACGGCCTTCCCCCCACCCCCCAAGGTGACAAACACATCGCTGGGGTATAAACCCCTGGCCTTTAAAGTCGCCTTTGCCCAGATAGGCTGTGATTGGTGGTTTGCGGCAGCTTTCAGGGAGGGTTTAAGATTGTTTAAGAGGAGGGTTCCTGGAGTTTCGGAAGTGCGGGGATACTGTGCATGGACAAAATTATTTTCGCACCACCTAAGAAACCCTAGAATGATATGATCCCCAACGTAAATACCAACAAACGTTATGATTTCAACCATGGTGTCTTGGGTGGTGCGAAATGGATTTCGAAACCATCCACAGTATCACCTTGGCTCATTTGGCTCAGCCCATGGCCTCTTTCTGCAACCAGGTTCCCGCCGGTTCAATTTCTAGAATGCCTCAGGGCACGCGTACCTCTAAGACAGTGTCCGCTTGGCACCGCTATCCCAAGGCACAAGTGTAGACAGGGGTATGCGCATATGTGTAGATGTAGACATCTACACCCCTCACAACCTTTTTGCCTGTATCCAGTTTTATGTGTATGTCTATATGTATATGTAATATATATATATATACATGCTAATATTACATCCATATGGAAATAGATATGTATATGCTTGTATGTGTGTATATATATACATATATGTAGATATGATCTACACCCGCCATGTTTTGACAAAGCTTCCTTTTATGAAGGGGGGACGAGGGCGTCGGCCGATCGGCGTTTCAGGCCTTTTCACTGCTGCGAAAGCTGTGGACTGTGACGGCCAGACGGCCTTGCACCACGCGGCAGCTGCGGGCCATGAAGACGTGCCCTGGGCGTCCACGTTTGTTTTCTGGTTTTGTCGGTTTTTGCCGGGCATTAAAACTGAATCCTACAGACGCCAGCTACAGGAATTATCACAAACCATGGGCCAGCCAGGCTTTGCCGGACCTAGCTTTGACTTACCCACTTGTTCAAAGCGAATCGACCTTTTGACTGACCTTTTAGTTTTACCATGTTCTTTGTTTTTTACAAAATAAACACAAAATCAACACAATGAAAAAAAATAAATTTATTAAAAAAGGTTAACCTCTTTTTTAGGTTCTTTCCGCAAGTGGGCTTAGAGAAGAGGCACCAGGCCCAAAATGGCCACCGGAAATGGGCCAACCTACCAAAAGCAACGGATTTCTTGGAGAACGTTCTTCTGGTTTTTTAGAACCTAGGGGTTGTTCAAGGGGAAACCACCCATGCAGATTTCCGCATGTAAGCCACTTTCGTCCTGTGGGTTTCCTTGCTCCCTCAACCAGTAGAATATGTCTTTGTCACAAGGGGTCGACACCTCAAGCTTGGGCCCGGCTGACGACAAGGGCACGCCCAGGTTTTGCCCAGCACTTCGGGAAAGCCAACGCGGCGTGGAGAATGTGTTTGTCAGACCGCCGATTTGATGACTACAAGGGCCTAAACAGGCTTGATAGGAAATGAGGATTACTTTAATGCCAACGAAAGTCATGATAGTCAGTCAGACCAACAGGTGCGTACTTACTAAGCCCCATTTTCCCCGCCTCCAACAAACACGGAAGCCGACAACAATGTGTTTGGACAACTATGTTCCTTTCGCTGTCCACTTCCATGATTGTTGGCGAGGGGACGCTACTAAGGTCAGATATATGACCATGGTTCAAAACCAATGGTACCATTTTGTTTTGGGATAGGTGCACCACCCATTTTAGTCTATTTTAGTGGGGATTGAGATGTTCACTGGGGTACGGGGTTTTGATCCATGGCCATTAGACAGATGTGGGAGAACCCCAAACTGTGGACCCCAACACCAGGCTGAAAGTAGATGAAGAAAAGGGGATAGACCCAAATAAGCCGCTTACCTTCACCCAACTGCAGCTGGATTGTTCCAAAACGGCGGGCCTGCCAAACTCGCACAAAATTTATACAGGGCTGAAGAATTATGCTCTTTGGGTAGTGGGAAGCATCTTGGCCAGTCAACCCCCAAAAATGTTGTCCCTGGTCGCACCGGTGTACCTCCAACTAGCCTAGTTTCGCGTCCATTTCTTTTTTTTGGTTTCTTCTTTATTGTGTTTGTTTATATCTACATCTTCTATCTACTAACCCTCAAAGGATTTACACGAATAACTGGATTTGAACCCTTGGTTCTTGGGAATTCAACCCCTCCCCCCCACACCCCACCTCCAAACCACCAATAGAAATCACCAATTAGAGGGAAGTTGAATTTCCTTCTTTTATTTGTTTCATTTGGCAAGCTGAATCAAACCACGGACCCCATTTGTTTCATTTGGGTATTTCTTTTTGCAGGTACCTCTTTTTTTGGTGGTTTAAACGGTATAGTAAACACACACATCACCATGTTGTGGGGGTTCCTAAAAGACACTAAAACAATCCAAACCACTATATAGAGGGAAGCTGATTGATTTGCGGAAACCCACATTGTTCGTTTCAAAGCAAATCAATGCCAGGGAGCTGCCCGAGATATCTGTCCAAGCTCCAAACCGCCAATCCTCACTTCACTGTTGTTGGCAAAGTGTTGTTTTTCTTTTAGCTCTGTTCATTTTTAGTAGGGGGCCTCCCCCGTTTTCTTCCCCCCCTCATTGATTTCATTCCCCCGCCCCCCGCACGAAACCTCCAACCCACCAATCCCAGTGGTTTCATTTGCTTCCCCAACTTTTCCTTCCCCCATCCACCCCTTGATTGACACTTTCATGTATTTGCTTCCCCCCCCCCTCCAAACCACCAATGCCAGTCAGCCCCCCCCCCCAACCCACCCCCCCCCCCAACCCACCCACCTCCCCCCACCCACCACCTCCCCCCCGTTTTTTTCCCGGCGCCGGTGCGCGTAGGTCTGCCGGGTGCTTTTGCAGCGGGGCCTGGACGCCGGCGCCGCCGACTGCTTCGGGCGCCTGCCGCTGCACCACTGCGCCCGGGGCGGCCACCCCCATGCCGCGGAGGCGCGGGGCCTCGAAAAACGCGGCGGGTGACGTGAAAACGCGGTGGACGCGTGGCCGTGACGTCAAACATAGGTAATGTTGACCCAGGATTAATAAACCCGTCCCATTGTTAGGGGGGGTGTTCCCTCCAAAAGTGATAGCTCGCCGCTAAAAGGGGACACTTTTCTATTAATCCACCAGGGGTTTATTAATCCGGGGTTAACATTACCTAACATGCAAATTTGGTGAATGGAAACGAGGACAAAAACCTGCTGTCCCCTTGGTGGTTTGATTTTGGCCCATACCCATGTGGAAACCGCGGGTAGAAAACGACTTGTTTGGTACAAAAACCGAGGTTTGACCCAGTGCCAAGGGGTGTTTTGGGGGATCCCCCGCCAGAAAATGGGTGGTGTAAAAGGTTTCCTGGCTCGTCTTTCCTTTGCGGAGTTAAGTACGCTTTTTTGTTTTCTGGTTGGAGTTTTAAGGGCAACGAACAGGAAAGCCAGCATATATTTTTTGTTGGGGGGGTCCCTAAAGAATGACACTCCCTGAGTTCTGTTTCAAACTTGAGTCACTTTTGGGGTGTTGGTCATTCTAGGGTGCTAGATCAACAGTTGGGACTTGTTGAGCCACTCGGGAAGCGAGAAAGTCAACCATAGGCCACGGAGCTCACCCATGACAGATGATTCTTTGGTTTTGGTGTTGATTTTTGTGTGATTTGCCCAGAACGCAGGGAGAAACTGAAGGAATCGGAGATATTGGGTTGCTTGATGGGGAAGCCAAGGGAAGAGGTTCCTTCTGGTTTCTTTGCACACACGGCACTAACTATGGTTAGCTCTGGTTGTATCTGAGGTAGCTTGGGTTTGTTCATGTAGCTTTTGGGAACTTTCAATGAAGCTGGCCAAGAGGGATTTGTAAGGTAGCTTTCGGCACCCAAGGTTGAATGGTCAAGGCTTGGATGCTTTTTCAGGTCAGTGAAGGTGCGCCCAAAACCCCGTTGAGAAGTGCCGACCAATGGCCATTGCAGGCCGTGGTTCGGCGTCCAAGTATTTTCCGAGGCTATCATCGTCAAATATCATTGTTTGTGTCAGCAGTGTCCTTTTTGTTTATTTTTGGAGATGCCTGCTTGTTTGCTTGCTTCCTTGCTTGTTTGTTTGTGTCTGTCTTTTGGTTTGTTTGATTGTTTGCTTGCTTCCTTGCTTGCCTGCTTGCCTGCTTGCACCTGCTTGCACCTGCTTGCACTTGCTTGCACGTGCTTGCACGTGCTTGCACGTGCTTGCACTTGCTTGCCTGCCTGCCTGCGTGCTTGCTCGCTGGCTCGCTTGCTTGCTTGCTTGTGTGCTTGCGTTTCTAGTTGGGTTGGTTGTGCTTGTTCTATAGTTGTGTGTGTGTGTGCTTGTTCAGTTGGCCGTGTTTTGGGTTGGTTTGGGTTGGGTCGGGTTAAGTTGGTTGGGTTGGGTTGGGTTGGGTTGGGTTGGGTTGGGTTGGGTTGGGTTGGGTTGGGTTGGGTTGGGTTGGTTGCGATCATTGAGCCCCCGGCCGTTTCTTCAGGCCCTGCTGGCAGCTGCAGAGGTGAGCGCAGCACCCGGGCCAAGAGAAAAGGAGGTCAGAGCCGTTCGTTTTCGGCGCAACATGCGTCACAGACCCCTGGTGGCTGGTTTGGAGGGAAACTCAAGGAAAACCACTCTTCTTGGAGTTTCCTATTTTGAGACAAGCCCCAACTCCTTCAAGGAATGGACATCCCAAAGGATGAGTGCTAAATAGCCAATAGTCATTGGCTTTCCCCTACGAGAAAGCAAAAGGGGATGGGTAATTTTGTACTTGTCCCAGACACCCTATTTAGCACCCAGAATGGCTGGGTTGCTTCAATTTGTTTTTGGAAGGCAGCCCCTAAGACGAGGTCCTGATATTTAGGGCAGTCGTCCCCACCTTATTTTGCAAAGCAGCTCCGGGTTTTGGAGCCGGTACCTTTTGGGAGTTAAGGGAAGCCCAGGGAAAGAGCACCCCGCTGACCAGCACGTGACCAAAGTTGGAGACCAGAGTTGGAGGTTGACGCCCCCCGCGGCAACCTCCGACGAAAAAAGTGATTAGTTCCTCCCTAAATAATGACCCGCGGATGGCTCCCCGAGACGAACAAAGCACCATCCGTGATGTTGATCCCTGATCAACACAAGTCTTAGTTGTTCATTTTTCTCGGCGTTTCAGTGCGTCTTTTTTTCCAACAGGACACCCCAGAGATTTTGCGCGTGCTGTTTCAAATCCGCGGGCTTTTGTGGCAGGGGGAATCCCAGTGCCCATGTCTAGTTGTGTGTATAATCTTCTTTTAGCCCTTAGCCCTTGCCTGGGGGCTGCTTCCCCCTGCCTTTGCTGTGCTGGGACGTTGCTCAGGTGTGGGCGACAGCTACTTGGCTACGCAAGTTGCTTCTGGCGTTGCAGGGATTTGATTGCATGAAGCCAAAGTTTGGCTTGGGTGCCGACAAGTACTTCCCTTGGCATGATACGGGCCACCACTTGATCAGGCCTTGTCCTCTTTTGGGTAAATCGAGAGCTGACGCGGGGGCCTTCGATCCTGAGGCTCGACGGTTCTGCTCGTTTTTCGTCATTTTTTTTCCGGTTTGGAGCTTTCTTCGTGTTGATTGGGAGGCTGCAACTCAACTTGGTTTGGATTGGTGGATTCTGGTGGTCAAATGGGACCCGGAGTTCCTTCGAAATGTTTGGGAGGGGCGCTTAAGAAACAACAAGGAAACGCTGCTTGTTACCATCCTGTGACCAAGGCTTTACTTTTGTGTGTGTGTTTGTGTTTCGTTGATTCTGTTCCACATTGCCGCCTTCAATCCGCTTCTGCCGAGCGCGTGCAGAGGGTCGAAATGATGTGCAAGATGTTGATGGCTGTTTCTGTTTTTTGTTTTTGTTTTTTTTCTCCCCTAAACCCTAAACCCTATGTTTTTTGTTTTATATTTATTTCCTAAACCCTGACTGTTTCCCTTAACCCTAGACCCTCTGTTGTTTTTTTATTCATATTTTAGCTTTGCTCATTGGTATCTAGCCTCTTGCAAGGGCCCGAAGGGCCCGCAGGACCCGAAGGACTTGGTTTCTTGGGATCGATTCAACCAGCTCTCCGAAGGAGCCATGGGAAGCAAGGGGAAACCTGGGAATCGATTCGCCTGGGACAAGTGAAAAGGAGAAACGTGGGAAACGTGGGAACGCGAAAGGGCAAAAGGTCAGATCAGATCAAAAGGTCGGTTCTGAAGATGGGAAGCCAAAAAGGGGAAAACCAGAAGGTCAGATCAGATGCGGTTGTTGCCATGACTGAAAGTGGGACGCCACATAGCCCAATCTGTAGTCGGTATTCGCTGCCTGAGTTGGACTCTTTTTGAGCTTGTGCAATTTTAGTGGTGGACAAATCGACTTGTCTGGGCCAACCCGCTCAGGAAGTGAGATATGGGGGGGGATTGAATTTCGGCAACGAGCGTTTGCCCTTGAAGATGGAATATCCTCCACCCTTTCATGAAAGTGCACGTTCGGCTCTTCAAGACGACGTTCCTAGGAGCCGAGCCTGTGCAGTTTCATGTTGGGAGGCCATCGTCTCCATGCTTAATGATTTGGATCGGCGTAATTTATGCTGTCACGCTGGAGTCTAAACCACCCTGCAGTTCTCACCTTCTAAGTGCCCCCCCCCTTCCCCCCGGTTTACCTGGATGTTGAACATACACTGTCAGCAGGTGCTGCCATGGTCATGCGGAGGTTAGTTCCCTTGGTTAGAACCAGCTTTGTGGGTCAACATCCCGTGAGAATGAAGCAGAGTTGGCTCAATTGCTGCGTGCCCAACAAACATGTCGGAACTCTGACGGAATTGTTTGCGCACCGAAGGAATAAGCTGGGTGTTTGAGGACACCCCTTTTTGGGGGTTCAGAGCGAGGTTAAAAGGAAGCCACATGTTTGGGAAGTCAAACGGATGCCATGGCCATGGTGAGGGAGATTGCCGTAAGACAGCTGTCTGGGGAGGAAGACTCATTCGTAGTGTCCACCCACACGACCATGCGTGAATTCAAGAGGCAGCTGCACGCGTGGTTTCCCTGCGAAGATGAATCCAAGCGCAACATGAGCTCGGTGGAGGTGGTTGCTGGAGACAAGCACCTATTGAACAAAGAGGAGCTAGTGTCAGAGGCCATTCCAGGTGCAGAAGTCCTAGCTTTCCTCAGCATCCAGCCGGTAGTGTGCTCAAGCTTCCAAGCCTCCGGCTGCGAAGTGGAAGATTTGTTGGTTGTGGAAATTCCCGGAGACGTGATTGCGATTGAGGATAATGCCTTCCATTGCTGCAGCTCATTGGCAAGCGTGACCATTCCCGACTCCGTGACTGTGATTGGACACTGGGCCTTTGAAGGTTGCAGCTTATTGGCAAGCTTGACCATTCCTGAGTCTGTGACTGGGATCGGAGAGTATGCCTTTGCATTCTGCAGCTCATTGGCAAGCGTGACCATTCCCGACTCCGTGACTGAGATTGGACCTGGTGCCTTTCAAGGTTGCAGCTCATTGGCAAGCGTGACCATTCCCCACTCTGTGACTGAGATTAGTTTCGCGGCCTTTGAAGGTTGCAGCTCATTGGCAAGCGTGACCATTCCTGAGTCTGTGACTGTGATCGGAGATTGTGCCTTTGCAGGCTGCAGCTTATTGGCAAGGGTGACCATTCCCATCTCCGAGACTTATATCGGAGAAGGTGCCTTTGAAGGCTGCATCTTCCTTTTGGAGTCAGATGGGACACGAAGACATTTGTAGCTTGGAGTATGGCGACAATGTTGCTAATTCCTATTGTTGAGAGTTACACCCATGTTGCCGCGCGCTTGCGCGCCCGAACTTGGCGTTAAGCCCTTCAAAAGGGCGACGCGTGGCCCCGGAGACGTTTCGGTCACATGATGGGGCCGTTTCAGTGATTCCGACAACGGCCGTGTCTAATACCGCGCGAATAAGTAAGTGGAGGGCGGGCCAGGGCGGAAGGCGTCGGAAGTAGCGTATTATTTCGTTGCGAATTATGGAAGATCAATTCAACATGGGGTCGCGCCCAAACAAAGTTTCCTCTTGACTCAACAGAGGGTGGAGTTCGAGTTGAAGCTCAGGGGTGATCTTTTACAGACAAGTCCGGACTTGTTTGGGACATCCTAGGTGCAAAGATCCAAGGGCCCCGGATGTGCACTGACCCAACAAGCTCACCACTGGGGAAACGAGCTTACTGTCCCACTCATGAAGGTTGAATACTAGGGTATTTATTTCTTATTTTCAGCTGAGCGCCCAAAACCCCTGGAAGGGCCATTTTTGGAGGTGGTTCTGCTTTGTTGAGCTGGGGTTGTAGTAAGGCCAAAAACCTCTACCATGTCAGTAGACCAGACTCGTCAGCGTTGTTTTTTGGGCGTTGCTCAGTCGGTTGGTCCTACTTGCGCACGTTAAAAGGACATACCTATTAGTACCTAGTCGTACAAGCCATGGACTAAGGGTACCCTGGATGCAACCTGCCTGTACCACCCATTATCATTCGTGTGTAACCAAAGATTTTGGGGGTATGCCCATTGGGGTAGGTAGAACCTAGATGACGTTCTGCCCAGATCTATATTTGTGTTTGGCAGGTAACGATGTTGGAGCACGGGGAAATTAATTTGGAAACTACGGATACGCCCAACGGTAGCCCAATCTGTAGCCGGCTTCCCAGAATTAAACCTCAACATTCGCTGCCTGAGTTCGACTCTTTTTGAGCTTGTGCATTTTTAGTGGTGGACAAATCGACTTGTCTTCGACTTGTCTGGGCCAACCCACTCAGGAAGTGAGATATGGGGGGGGTAGTTGGAGAATATCGAGTGGGTGTGACTTTCTGGATTGAATTTCGGCAACGAGCGTTTGCCCTTGAAGATGGAATATCCTCCACCCTTTCATGAAAGTGCACGTTCGGCTCTTCAAGACGACGTTCCTAGGAGCCGAGCCTGTGCAGTTTCATGTTGGGAGGCCATTGTCTCCATGCTTAATGATTTGGATCGGCGTAATTTATGCTGTCACGCTGGAGTCCAAACCACCCTGCAGTTCTCACCTTCTAAGTGCCCCCCCCCCTTCGCCCCGGTTTACCTGGATGTTGAACATACACTGTCAGTAGGTGCTGCATGGTCATGCGGAGGTTAGTTCCCTTGGTTAGAACCAGCTTTTGAAGCAGAGTTGGCTCAATTGCTGCGTGCCCAACAGACATGTCGGAACTCTGACGGAATTGTTTGCGCACCGAAGGAACTCCGGGGCTTAAGCGGGGTGTTTGAGGACACCCCTTTTTGGGGGTGGTTCAGAGCGAGGTTAAAAGGAAGCCACATGTTTGGGAAGTCAAACGGATGCCAGCCATGGCGAGGGAGATTGACGTAAGACAGCTGTCTGGGGAGGAAGACGCATTCGTAGTGTCCACCCACACGACCATGCGTGAATTCAAGAGGCAGCTGCACGTGTGGCTTCCCTGCGAAGATGAATCCAAGCGCAACATGAGCTCGGTGGAGGTGTGGAGACAAGCACCTATTGAACAAAGAGAAGCTAGTGTCAGAGGCCATTTCAGGTGCAGAAGTCCTAGCTTTCCTCAGCATCCAGCCGGTAGTGTGCTCAAGCTTCCAAGCCTCCGGCTGCGAAGTGGAAGATGTGTTGGTTGTGGAAATTCCCGGAGACGGGATTGCGATTGAGGATGATGCCTTTGCATTCTGCAGCTCATTGGCAAGCGTGACCATTCCCCACTCCGTGACTGAGATTGGACACTGTGCCTTTGAAGTGCAGCTCATTGGCAAGCGTGACCATTCCCGACTCCGTGACTGAGATTGGACACTGTGCCTTTGAAGGTTGCAGCTCATTGGCAAGCTTGACCATTCCCAACTCCGTGACTGACCTTGGGCTTCATGCCTTTTATGGTTGCAGCTCATTGGCAAGCGTGACCATCCCTAAGGGGAAAACGGCAGAACCAAAAAGGTCGCTTTGCTTGCATGTGAAAATGAGAAACTAAAAGGGGAAGACCACAAAGTCAAAAGGGTAGATGAAGGTTACGCCTTCTTAATTCTTTGCATGGTTCTGGGTAGACCATCTGGGCGTGGGTCAACACCAATGGTACCATTTTCGGGTAGGTGCAACAGCCATTTTAGAACCTATTTGAGTGGTTGGATTGGGATGTTCACTGGGGGTGCGATTTAGGTTTTGACCAATGGCCATTTTGATACCGGGTTTTGATTGCGACTCATCTGTAGAAACACCACGTTTGAGCCAAGGATTGTGACCAGCTCACGGCGCTGCACTGCGCCGCCTTCCGGGGACATGTGGCGGTGTGTGAGACGCGCCTCGCCTTCGAATGGCATGTCGACAGGCCGAGAATGGCATGCCTCCATTTGCTAAGAAGATGTTTTGTTAATTTTCCCTTGTTGGGTCTAAAAGGAATTCATTGGAAATAGTTTGTTTTATATATTTTGGTTCTTGGGGCCAATAGCCATGCCAGCCAGAAATACTCAGCAGAGCCATCCCGAAGCCACGGAAGCCCCCAACCCCGTGGATCTTCCCGGCAGTGTGGATGGGTCACTTCCATGGGGTTGAGAGATGTTTTTCCCATGTGATCAACCTTTGTCCATAGATCCGGGCTTTCTGGGCCTGGGAGCAAAGGCAGAGAGGCAGAGATCTGCCCTTGTGGTTCTTTAGCTTTAAGATCTTTGAAAGTCTTTGTATTTGTGTCCGCTTTGTCTTTAAAGAGCGAATCACTCGGGCCTTTGCAGAGGTCTTGTCAGTGAAATGTGTCAATTCTTTAAGGCTGCATAAATTATACAGAAGGCAGGTTGAGAGCACGACCAGAACTAAGGAATTGGTTCATCATCAGGGCACTGATCCATTGCGGGCATGCTGAAACTTCTTTCTTGTGGAACCAAATTGAGAACAGTTGTGAACAAATGTTGAAGCTGTTGGAAATATATCGGGAAACAGCTAGGTTGGGAAAAGCTTGGGAACAAGTGGGGAAAGTATCAGGAACAGTTGGGAAAAGGCTTGGAAAAAGTCTGGAAAAGGTTGGGAACAAGTTGGGAAACGGTTCGAACAAGTTGGGAAACTGTTGGAAAAAGCTGGGAAACAATTGGGAACGGGTTGCGGAAATGTTGGGAAACGGTTGGGAAACAGTTAGGAACACGTTGGGAGAAGATTGGGACAAGTTGGGGAAACGCTGCGAACATGTGGGAGAAGGTTGGGACAAGTTGGGAAAAGCTTGGAAAAGAGTTGGGAAACTGTTGCGAACAAGTTGGGATGGGGATCACAGTGATGCAAATACTTTTCTGACATTGGAAAAGAAGCTGCTGCGAGTTGTTCTTCTTCTTTTTATTGGGGGGGGGGAGCAGCTCTTGTGGGGGATGTTCCACGGTTGCTAAGGATAATCTTGCTTTTTGTGGGGCTTGCATAGCGTCTTGTGGTTTTCTCTGGTTTGTGCCGAATCATTTCCAAAGAGATATTGATCTCTTTACCCACCATATGAACGGATGGAAAGTGAAAGGAAAATAATTCTCAGGGAATGAACGCCGTGGCAGTGAATGGACAGGAGTTCATGAACGGTATGACTACGCCTTTGACTTTCGGTTCGCAATCCCAACTCCAAACCGGGGGTAACTGAGAGGTGGAAACTTGGTCGATTCCCACCGGAGCGAGGGTTCCCAAAGGGTGTACCTGGAAGGCGTCTCATGGGCGAAAAGATGTTTCTCATTTTAGGAACAAGCCCTCTGCTAAACGCATGGTTTCCCAATTGTGCCCACCCTTTTGTTGGTTGAAGTCTCCAAGCATATGTTAACTGCACCTGTTGGTTGGGTATGCTAGCTGATTGTTACTCACTTTTCGGGGCAAATCCTGTCCACTCATGACATTGGCCACCCTGGCTTGCCGTTCTTTTTGTGCTTTTTGCTGGCAAGCTCCCTAAATCGACTAGGTGGATATGCATCAGCCAACCCTTATTTTTTTGTGGTTTGGGTTGGTGGTGCGGGGACTTGAACCATTGGTTCTTGTATGGGGTATATGGGACCACCCCTGGTTGCTGTCGAACTCTCTGAAGCGTCTCGTTGTTGCGGTTAACACCTGTGTTAAAAGTAACAACTGCAAGCGAAAGGGCTTGACCCCCCACTTGAATTGGAATCTCAAGTGCTGTGCCCTTGCACGAGTTGTGTGCATTCACACCGCTTGCCGCCAACCGAGAGGAAGCTGCGTGAAAGGTGTTGATAGGCTCTGGCATCCCCACCCCCTTAAAAAATGGAATTGGCGGAAGGGGGTGACCCCTGTTTTCCCTTTTCTGGCCATGACCAGCATGGAATTGGGGCCGCCTGCTGTGGCCAAGCCTGAGGATGATGAAGCATCTCAGCTTCGAGCAGGTCTGCAAGGCTGGCGTCCTGGACTATTCAACTCTTCGCCACTCCAGAGACGCCGCCTGGTAAAACCAAGCTGCAAGCGAGTTGAGAGAGAGATAGAGAGAGAGAGAGAGAGAAGAGAGAGAGAGAGAGAGAGAGAGAGAGAGAGAGAGAGAGGGCCATTTGGGTATGGGTCAAAATTCAACCACCAGGATATGGACCGCAAGTTTTAGTCCATGTTTCCATTTGCCAGGCTTCCATTTTGAATACCGTTTTTTGACCCACTCCCATTTGGCCATGAGTCACAATCCGAAAAGCTTCGTGGACATAAAAATCCCCACGTAAATGATGTCCAGCAATTGGTTTCCATGTTTCATTCATACCCACGTCCCCATGAATGCCTGCCATACTGGTACTGTATGACGATGCTCATGCAGCCGGTGTAGCGTGTTTGAACTAGGGACGCAGTGGATTAAATTCTTGCATTTGCATAAGAATATGTTTGACTTGTCCCTTGTTGGTTTTGAAGCGGATCTATCACTAGTTCTTAATCAAATCGAAGCAAATGGAAGTTTGGGGTTGACGTAACCCTTTTTCTCCGCTTCGATAGGCGGCTTGAGAAAATGGAACAATTGCAAGAAGGACCCGGCCAGAAGCCCACCATGTTGAGGGGTCCGATTAGTTGGATGCACGGGGGCCCAGAGCAAAAGGCGATGCAGCTTGCCGGGTGTTTTGCTTGTCACCCTTGACCAAACTGGGTTTCGTGAGGGCCCCTTCGGCAGACTGAACCGGCTTCCTTGCCTCCATTTGCTTAAGAAGATTTTCCCTTGTTGGTTTTAACAGGAATTCATCACTGGAATTATGTGTTGTTTTTTTGTTTTCCTGGGGCCTTAACCAAATGGAAGCTTGGGTTCAGGGTTCTGGAACCTATGATTATGATCTCACATCTTGTCTCCGTTTTCCTTTCTTGTCACTGGCGACTGAGTGCTTGGGTGCTCGGCCAAGTTAGTAAGTGGCTAGCCACTGGGTTATACCCCTCTTATAGTGGGGTTAACCCAGTCATTTGTAGGTTACAACACAGGTGGCGTTGCCCACTTCCAAGTCATGGTTGTTGTTGGGAAACATGAATTTTGCGTGTTGCGGTTTAGTGGTTGAAATCCCAACCCACTTAATTGCTAGAACATTTTGAGAATTTTTGCTCCCCAAACCCAAGGTCAACAAAGAAACCCTAAACCCTAATCCCTAAACCCAAGCCCCCACCCTAAACCCTAACCCCCACCCTAATCCCTAAACCCACCAAGCGCTGCCTTCAGGAAGTGTTGCCTGCAGTGCAGCACGCCTTGGAAGCCATTGGCTTGGGCCTGGAAGAGCAGGCCATGGACTCGCCGGATGCCTTGGACGAGCCCTGAGCTGAAGCGGACTTTGGGACTTCGGGAAAGGCCCCAGTTTCAACGACCCCCACCTAGTCAGGTCCAACAAGATCGAAGTTAGTGCGATGATTTCATGTTCGGAAAGGCAGACAGAACATCTAGACATTTAGCAGACTAGCACTTGGAAATGATCTTGACCAAAACAAGAGGTGCGTGATTGCGCTTGCTTGTTCCCAACGTTAGGAATTAGAACCCATCTTCGCATACCGTTGCTTCGGCAACCTCTTGCATCATCCCCAAGAAGGTTCCTCGCCTGAGTTTCTGGACTTGAGTCACTCTGGTTGCTGTGGTCACCCCCCTGGGCCTGGCCAGGCCAAGGTAATCCGCAAGATGTGCTGGAGCTTTAGTCACTTTTTACATTCGATGGTGGTATTCCCCAAAAGTTCCAGGACTTTGTTTGGCCGGTCCAACGGCTCGAACGTGAGCTCGGTGTTCCAATTTGCGCATTGGATTCCTGAGGTGCCTTTGGTTTTCTCGTCTCAGCGGGGGGTTACGGAAATCGATGGTGTTTTACAATCAAACATCGCTTATCCTGAGATCGAATCCACCGGATCCGACCTGTTGTTCTTCCCTCTGGGCCGTGATTTGTTGTTTGGTTCCAAAATCTTGACGTGTTCGGCGACCAGGCAAAGAAACTCTTGAAATAGGAAGCCTAAAGCGAGGCTTTAAACAGCTGTGGTCATAGGACATGATCAGCGCAAGGTGGCTAGCTGCTCAACCCAGAAGCCAAAAAGTTTGAGATTTTGCCATCCCATTTGTTTCCTTCATTTAGCAAGAGTCATTGGTGATCTCCACTTTTGTTGGCTTCTCCTCAGTAGGCAACTCTAGGGTGACTCTTGTTTCGGTGTGTGTGTGTGTGTGCGTTGTTTGTTGCTTTTGCGTTATAGGTGGTACTCCCGCCATGCGTTGCTGTCTGGTTCTAAATAAGCACCCCTGGGGATGTCTGAATCCGTGGGCCCCGGAAAACCTCGAATCCAAACCACCCTTTCTGAGGGAAGCTGAATCAAACATGATAGCCTGTTTCTAAGTTGTACGGCTATCCCGGATGGACACAATTAAACCGCGAGTTGGTACTTGGTTTGCCAACCATTTGAAGGGCTTCATCTATCCCAAGTGCTGCTAAGCGGACGTCCACAGTCATCTGGATCTGTTTCTTTCATGGGTCCTTCTAAATGGCTTCGGTTTTTCTCCGGGTTGCCCTTCAAACCAACCAAAAAAGGGGCCCCTAAAGAAAGGACACGCCCATCTCACCACAGAGCCACGGATTTTCCGAGCCGTTGCGGCGATCGGCTCAAGTGACTCCCCAGGCAAGTGATGGAGCGGTGGATTTTGGGGCAAGTTCAAGTGGCTCCCCTTGTTGTCTTACCTCTTAAAAACACATTTTTTTCAACTTTTTGGGTAACATGGGCTATATGTCTGTAAAAGGTTAGCTTCCCCAATCCTTGGAGTTTTAAGGGGTAAGTTGTTGGTAGTCAGAGGAAAGCAAAACGACTCCATTTCCTTGCTGTTGTTTTTTTTTCTGGAAAGCCACACAAAACTGGGTGGCTCCCAGCCATCCGGTTCCTTAGCTTTTTGGACTTTTAGTGTTTAGTGGGGGTTTCCATTTGACCCACTAGTTATTCACTTTTAGGAGGGGGTCTGAAAACGGGCAGCCCAGAAGAGGACAAGCGCCTCGTTTCAAGGGGAAATCCAGATCGACCCCTGTGATCCTGAGGATGAGGACGCCATCCAGGACTTCCTGGAGGCCCAACAGGTGTTGTTTGAGGATAATTGCAGGGGTGGTTTAAAGGGAAACCAACAGGAACAACCAGATTATGTGTTCTTTCTTCTTTCTTTCTTTTTTTTTGGGGGGGTCCTGGAATGGTTTAAACAACAGGAACAACGAAATCCATTTGGCGGAGTTACGTGGCTTTGAGGAACACCAACAGGAACAACCAAATTTGTTTCTTTTTCGCAAGGGGTTGAAACAGCCTCAAATGTGGAACCTGACTTAAAACCATGTGGCTCAAGTAGGCCAAGTCCTTTTCGCTTCTCCACTTACTCACTTCCCCAGTCGGTGGAATGGAGAGATCTGTTCTGACCAACTCAGCACAAGTGAGAGTATATAACGCAGAGAAACCATCTATATACATGTGCAAGGGAAATGTGATAGATTGATTTTTCCGATGCTCCTTCGGGTTTCGCATTTCAGATTATTTCAAGGACCAATTTGTTTGGCCAGAATCTGGCCTGGAACTGCTGGACCCTTCAAGGGATCAAAGCAGAACCCCTGGTTGATGAATAATACGGGCTTGTTCGCTTTGGGAATCCTTCTGATACACAGCCCCCCTATTTACTTCGCGGGATGGATTTATTGATTACTCCCAGGTTCCCATGCCTTTTCACCGTGTCAACATCTTCCCGGCCAGGCCGTGCCGGAGCTTCCGGAACCGGAATCCCCGGAAACGGCGGCGCCGGTGCCGGACGAAGCGCCGACGAAAGCGGCGAAGGCAAAGGCGGCGAAGGCGAAGGCCAGCTCTCTGAGCCCAAAGAGCGCCTCGGCTACCGCCGCCTGCGGCGTGTCGATGTGTGTTCGATATATTTTGGGCTCTTGGGCTGGGGCCCAAGATGGACCCCCAAGGGTGGTCCTTTTAGTGTCCCTTTTGCAACCCCCAAAAAGGGAGTCCCCTAAAAAAAGAGACAGACCCAAAACGAGTTTCTATGCGAATTAGCTCGTCAAGATAGTTATTCGGAATCCGAAACGGCTTCGGTGCTGGAAGAAAGCAACCTGAAATGTGTGTCCACTCAACACACAACACACACCCACACAATATGTCAGGGTAGAAATAATATGCAGCAGAATCGCAGGTGTTTTCTGCCAACCCTGAAAGACCTGGGTTTGTATTTTGAGATGGACGCCTCTGTCCGGGTGGTTTTGAAGGCCTTTGCCAAACGGAGAGAAGCCGAGATCTTTTCCGAGGGCCCACTGACGCCACTTGTTGGACCTCGAAGGGGGAGTTGCTGCGAAAAATTTGCCTGAAAAGGAGGCATCCCTATTCTTGCCTCTTAGAAACACAAAACTTTTCTCAACTTTTTGGGTAACATGGGCGAACAGTGTCTGTAAAAGATTAACTTCCCCAGGGCTTGGGGTTTTAAGGGGTAAGTATTTTGACAAACCAATTCTCCACTAGGCTCGACCGCCCGGCATGTTTTTTTTTGGGGCTGCCCGAGCAGCATACCCTTGTTGTTTGCAGTCGTCTTGTCCAGGATAAACGATCTTAGCCTTAAAGCCTTAGGTTCAAAAGAAACGACCAATCCGGTGCCCTTTGCACTGGTTTCAATGGACACGTTGGAACTCGTGGTGGCCACAGTAATGAAAGAATAAAGGGCGGGCTTTTCCGGGGGTCCCCTCTTTGGCAGCCTGGCAAGCGTTTTGCGGTTTCCAGCCAGCATCTTAGGGTTTTAGGTATTTAGTCGCTTAGTGGTAGTGCCCGGTGAAGGGCCTGATGATGTTTCTTACGAGTCAGTTTGGTCACTTGTTAGCGCAGAGTTCGGATTACTCCCCTCCCTTGGTTTTGTGCTGGAACCCCCCAAAACCATCATTCTTAGAGCAAACTGCTTTTGGTGGCCCCCTTGTTGGCTTCCAGATGAAATTGTAGGGAGTAGGATTGGCCAACCCTCCCTTGCGCCCAATAGGTCAAACAAAAACAGCGACAGGGTCGGGGCGCTTTCATGCGTTAGAATCTGCCAATCCCACTGAATGGGAATGTTTGGGGTAGGGCGGTCACCCAAAACAATTTCTTGGCATCCGAATGGTTCGCACTTGCACTCAAAAAGAGGGCCAGTGTTCCTTTGACTCCGATGCCCAGCAAATTGCGAGCGGCCATTTGCCAAATGAAGCTGATCTCTTCGGAGCCAGTGATCCCAAGTCAGAAGATGAATACCGCTAGTTCACCTGAGTGCCGCCTGATGAAAAGCCATGGCTCAGCTGAATGACTCAAGTCCCTAGCAAAAGCATGGCTCGGAGCCAGTGACTGCACTTGGACCTGATGAAAAGCATCAGCTCACAGCATCAGTGGCTCAAGTCCCGAGCCAAAGCATCTGAGCAAAAGATCGTGGAGCTGTTTTTCCCTGGTTTTAAAGGGGATCTATCACTAGTGGAGATATTTGTCCAAGAGACGGAAACTGAAATGGAGGCATTTTAAAGAGCTGTTGGTAGCTTCCAGCAATCTGCCATGGCAAGAACGATTACGGTGCGACAGCCACTGTCTGGGGAGGAGGGCGTATTCGAAGTGCTCCCACGCATGACTGTCCGTGAGTTCAAAAACGCCCTGCATGAGCGGCTGCCCTGCGACGAATCAAAGCGCAAGATGAGCTCGGTGGAGCTGATTGTCGGAGATGCGGCCTTGCTGAACAACAAGCAGACGGTGTTTGAGGCCATTCCCGTTTCTGAAGTCATGGCCTTCCTCAGCATCAAGCCGGCGAGGTGCTCAAGTTTTGAGATGTCCGGCTGCGAAATGGAAGACTTGCGGGTAGTGGAAATTCCAGAAGGCGTGACTGAAGTTGGGCGTTGTGCCTTTCACGATTGCAGCTCATTGACAAGCGTGACCATTCCCAACTCCGTGACCAGGATTCGACAATTTGCTTTTGCAGGCTGCAGCTCATTGGAAAGCGTAATCATTCCCGACTCCGTGATTAAAATTGGAGACAGTGCCTTTGAAGATTGCAGCTCATTGGCAAGCGTAGCCATCCCCAAGTCCGTCACCGTGATTGGAGAATGCGCCTTTCAAGGTTGCAGCTCATTGGCAAATGTGACCATCCCTGACTCTGTTAATGAGATTGGATTATGTGCATTCGCAAGTTACTCATTGGCAAGCGTCACCATTCCCAAAGCTTAGACTGTGTCTTTCAAGGGTGCAGCTCCTTAGCAAGTGAGAGCATGCCCAGATCGGATTTGATGCTTTCAAAGGCTTTAGCTGATTGCCAGGTACAGTACCTTGAAATTGTAGATAGAGTTAACATCCCCACCCCCCTTAAAGTCCGAAAAGAAGGGGGACGTCTGAGACGTCTCTCCCCCCTTAAGGGGGTGGGGATGCGTCAATTGTTTATTTGAAGGCGAGCAGCGAGAACTGACATTTTGTCAACACGCCAGACGCCGGCTGTTTGGTGAGACGGTCGGGGATCAGCAGCTTCGCGAGGGGTGTTTTTGATGGACTCCAACCATGAAACAAAAACCGATGCCCAAAAGCACCAACGAACTTACACTCCTGCATATGGGGGACCCCCAACGGCACCACAGGTAATTCAGTCTTCTTTTGGGGCGCGCCTCTTTTTTTTGCGGTGGAAGTTACAATTTTCAGTAGGGGGCAGGGGGAGTGCAGGACAGGGGGGCTCCTTTTTTGCGGTGGAAGTCACAATTCAGCAGGGGCCAGGGGGAACAGGTTCTTCTCCTGCCGACTTTGCCAAGACTCTCACATCCTCTCCCTTAGCCGCGTGAGCCGTGACCTCCCGTGGCTTTTTTGGTCGCATGTGTCGTAGGTTTAGGTTTTTGTCCCCCCCCATTTGGTTTGCTCCAACAGTGGCGATCGTTTAGTGGAGACCACCAGTAAATTGATCAACTTTGGGGGAATGCCAGCGTGCTAGGTCCCCCAGCTAGGCACCCGTTTCTTTTTTGGTTGGGAGGGTTCCCCTACTAAAATAGACAAGAGAAAAAAATCGGGTACCCTTATTCCTTGACTGCTACTGGGTTGGATCTTTAGACTGGGAAATCAAGGGGTTTTCCACTAACCCTCCAAAAAGTTGTCCACTTTTTGCAGGGGGGTCGTTTCAGCAACAAAGATTCTAATCGCCTGTCGGCTGCCTCCGATCTAGGCGCCAGCCCCAAGTCCCGGCCAGGACTTCACTGGAGTGGGTGGGTTGCTGGGCAACCCACGGCCTTTTGGCCCCATAGGTGTCCTTTTCATGTTTGGTTCAAAATGGATGGGTTCCACTGGTTTAGGTGGGCTTTCTTCCATTTACCAGGGCCATTTATTTTTCCAACACCACCCACGGCTGGTGCCCGTGCTTTATTTTTGTGGGGCCCCCTGCGAAAACAACCACAGGCAGTGGTTAGCGATTCCTTTTTGGTCAGCTTGGTTTCTGGGAGGGCACAAACAACAGATGGTACCTGTTGATTCTGGGAAAAGTACAGTTGGGCGGGGCTGAAACTACCGTCGACCAAGTTTATTGAAGAGGAAGGCTAGTTGAGTATGTTCAAGACATTGGTTTGACCATGCTTCGACACTTTTATAGCACGGAATACGCCTCCTCCCCTCCTCCCTCCCCCTGTTTACCATATGACCAACAGGAACAACCCTTGTAGACTCACTCCCTGAACTCCCTGAGTTCCTGGGCTGCATACTTTCGGTTCCAGGGCTGCATACTTTCGGGGAGGATCAGTTTGGTGGCAAATATGAGGTTTGGACATTCTTTGTTCCAATCCACTCACTTCCTTGCTTTGCTGGTGCTCAACAAGGAATGAGAAAGGGAATGAGCCTTATAAACCGTCCAACTGATGGTTTCCTTTAAAGGCACCAAAGCCTGGGTTCATCGCCATTCTCTTCGAAGCTCGCACCAGCAAGCTTCGAACGCATGTTTTGCAGGACCCGACAGCCCCACCTTCGGCTCGCCCCTGCTGGCGATCCATCACAAGTTGCACGCGGCGCAGGTGACCCTTGCGCCAGTTTCTTTTTTATTTATATGGCTGTGGGTCAAGCATTGGGAAACCCCAAAATTGGTTGCCCTGGCAAATGGAAAGGCGGACCAACACCTTAGCCATATGGCTGTGTGGTAACAGATCTTTGGACCGGACAACTTTTGGTTTTAAGCAGGTCGGAGTTTTCCGAATTGAAGCCACACAAAGTTATTCAGTTGTTGGAAGGGTGTCAACGTTCAGCCCCGAAAAGGGTCTCCATTTTTGCCAGGGTCTCTGAAGCACTGGGACAAGCCGAGGGCCGAAAGCAAGCCCAGCGGTTGGATAGCCACAATCGCGGTTTTTATCCCTAGGTAAACCACAAAACATGCTGCCCCCTTGGCCTTTGGGCAAGGGCTGATTGTCCTTTCTTGACTGCTATTGGGCAACGGATCTTTAGACTTTCACTTTTTGGTTGAAACCAAGTGGTGTTTTCCGTACTAAACCCCCAAAAAGTTGTCCACTTTTTGCAGGGGGGTCGTTGCAGCAACCAAGTCTCAACCCCAGTTTATTAAGGGGGTGGAAACACGGCCCCTCCAAAAGTCTGATCCCCCACTAAACCCACAGAAGGGGCCTGATCGACCTTTGGCTTGGTGCCTTGAGCCTTTTGTGCTACTTCGATGAAGTGAGCTCGAGCATTTTAGAACCAAATCGCGCTGGAGTACCCGGCGTGGGGGTAGTTGCGATTGGACATATCATTTGGTCCCCCAGCGTGCCCTTTGGCCAACTTTTTTTGGGGGGGGGGAGGGTTCCCCTACTAAAATAGACTACATAAACAAGTTGGTACCCTTATTCTCCCCTGTCTACTGGAGGACCTAGTTATCGTTTGGCTTGGCAAACTGTAAGCTGTTTGTTTACGATTTCATGCTTTGGTTGACGCTTGAAAAGCTTAAACTGTGAATGACCAGACGCTGTGCACGTGTTTTTTTGTCATACACTGATTCAGGGGCAGAGAGCCATTGCAGCGCGATAGCCCACTAGTACACCAGTTACCAATTTGTCCAACCGGATTTTTCGTCGACAATGAATGACCATTACTCACTTCCTGAGTTCATAGACTTTGCACTTTTTGGAAGGGCATGAAGGGCCATTTTAGTGGTAAAGTAAACAAAACGTTTGGACTTTTTTTGGCCATCCACTGGAAATCCGTATTTGGCCCCCAAAGCCCACCTGTTGACCTAAGGCGTTTACACCTTTAGTCTTCTTTTTGTCAAGGTTCCAAAAGGTTAAACTTGTATTTCCAGGCCCGAAGACGGGGGGAATGAGTGGCCGTGAGGGTTTGGAAGGAGTTTGCTCAGGAAGCCATTGGACTATTTCAAGAAGCTCGACAAGGATTTAGACGGCCGACTCACGCCGGAGGATGCTTGGCCGAACTTGAGGCGTGGCCCTTTGTGAGTATGTGTGAAAAAGAGGGGGGGCCGCTGGTTTGCTAAAGGGCCACCAGGATCATGCACGTGCTTAATGGGATGTGGCCCCGCATGAGGAACAAAGCAGGGACTGGGGAGGGGATGCAAGGCAAGGAGGTTTTCCGGAGTGGTTGGTGTCCTTGTGCTGCCTGAAACCCATTCTGCTCGACTGCCACTTGCCGCGGGGTTTTGGGTGGTCAAGCGACACGGACACCACTGGGGCCTTTGAAGTCCAACGGAAGTTCCCTAAGTCTTGGACTTGATACTTTTTGCGTAGAGCGTGTCGCTGGCAAATTGGCAAATTTGCAAATCAAATGTTATAACAGAGGACGTTCGGAAAGGTCGCAGTGGACGTCTATAAAGATCGAGAACTTAACTTGTTATTGTTCATGAGCAACCCTTGCAATAATTTAGGGGAGTGTACCTGTTATTGTTCATGAGCAACCCTTACAATAATTTAGGGCTGAGGGTTCACTGAAACAACCTCAACTTAGCTGTCGGACAAAAACCATGTTGCTTCAGCAACCCTACAATTTGATCGACTGGGGGGGCTGAGGGGCTGGAACCTCCTTTTTTTTGTCGGGGGGGGGCGGGGGTTGGTTGTTCAAGGGACGCCCTCTGGAAGCCACCCGTTCTGGGGGCAACAAAAAACCCGGAGCTGTCGAGACCCCCGCTGGCTTTGTCTTGCTCGAACCCCGGGGCCCCCGAAAAAAATCCGGGGCAGCTCCGCGCGTTCCTCAGCCAAGCCGAGGAGCTTCGGAAGTGTTTGCAGAGCGTGGGGCGCCTCGGCGGGAACTGAGCCCCTGAAGCCCAGGCGAGCTTCAATGACATTCAAGGCTATCAGAAATCCAGGTGTCTTTGTCTTAAACATGGCTATTTGGCAGCGGATCTTCGAACAGGACGACTGTTTGGTGGAAACAGAAGGGATTTTTCCAATGGACCCACAAACAAGTTTGACTTTTTGGGGGGTTAACAGAAACCAAGCTGAGACCGTGTCCTTTCGCTGTCCTTTTTTCATGGGATGGATCTTACAATGAGCAGATAGGGTGTAGATGTTCACCAGAAAACAACGAGCTGCCGCTGGTTTTGGGGAAATCGATACTTCACAAAACGTTACAACCGGAATCGACCATATGTCGTTTTGCTTTTTCATTAGGGGGCCAAGTGGTATCAATTGGTTTATCCAGATGAGTTCTGAAAGGAAAATGAAAATGGCGATGGTGTTTGGGACAAAGCTCGCTTTCAATGCGTCCAATGTGTCAACGGGAAATGGTCGTGAGCTCACTTCCCATGGCAAGTCAACAGGTGGAAAATCCCGCAAAGGGGTCCTTGCCCAAAAGGAGAATCCTCCAACGACATGTTCTGTTTGCAAGGAGGGTCACGAGATAGGTCAGATCCCTGGTTCACAAGGGTGACTGGTGATTCTGGTGGCACTCCCGGCATTTTTGCAGCATGTGTTGGGTAAACCGTGGCCATGGTGAGTGCCTGGACTGACTTCTTGGGACGACCATTTTTCATTCAAACGAAGACCTTAACTAGGCCCAGCTAGGTGCCCTTGTACCAACTTTTTTGGGAGAGGGTTCCCCTACTACAATAGACGTCAATAGACTACGGAAAAAGGGGTACCCTTATTCTAATTTCTACTGGAAGACCTAGTTAAGCTTGTTGGGTCGATCCTCTGAGGAAGTGAGGTTGACTAAGACCCCTAAATTCAGGTTGCTTTTTGGGAACAGTGGGTTGGCTTCATGTGAAGACACCATCC